TAGAAGATGTTTTATGCCAAATATCTAAGCTCTAGCTCTTACAGTTCTTTAAAAGAAGATTTTTTAAGTTTAAACTTATATGCATATAGGGAAAATCAATTACCCCCAGGGCGGGCCAATTTTTGACCCCAGGGCTTTTATTTGAAACAAACTTGGTAGACATTCACTAGAAGATGTTTCATGCCAAATATCTAAGCTCTAGCTCTTTGGGTTCTTTAAAGAAGATTTTTTAAGTTTTTTACTTTATGCATATAGGAAAATCAATGACCCCCTGGGGCGGGGCCAATTTGACCCCAGGGCTTTTATTTGAACAAACTTGGTAGACATTCACTAGAAGATGTTTCATGCCAAATATCTAAGCTCTAGCTCTTACAGTTCTTTAAAGGAAGATTTTTTAAGTGTTTACTATATGCATATAGGGAAAATCAATGACCCCCCGGGGCGGGGCCAATTTTGACCCCAGGGCTTTTATTTGAACAAAACTTGGTAGACACTCACTAGAAGATGTTCCATGCCAAAAATCTTAGCTCTAGCTCTTACAGTTCTTTAAAAGAAGATCTTTTAAGTTTTTACTATATGCATATAGGGAAAATCAATGACCCCCGGGGGCGGGGCCAATTTTGACCCCAGGGCTTTTATTTTGAACAAACTTGTAGACACTCATTAGAAGATGTTTCATGCCAAATATCTAAGCTCTAGCTCTTAGGGTTGTTTAAAAGAAGATATTTTAAAGATTTTTTCTTTCGGTTGCCATGGCAACCAGAGTTCTGCATGGAATTAAATTCTTTGAACAATTTTTAAAGGTGACCACCAAAGGAACATTCCTGTGAAGTTTGGATGAAATTGGCTCAGTGGTTTATGAGGAGATGTCATTTAAAGCAAAAGTTTACGGACGGACGACGGACGGACGACGGACGGACGGACGGACGGACGCCGGACGAAAAGCGATCACAAAAGCTCACCCTGTCACTTTGTGACAGGTGAGCTAAAAAGGGGGATAATTCAAAAATTAGGCAAGGCACTAACAAAGTTTGCACTCTTACCTTATGCTACGACCGGATGTAAACAATACGTTCGCACAGGGCATGCGCGGTGGTTGAATCCCACCCATTTAATTCGATTAAATTCTAGAACAACCACTACTTTCGGTTTCAATTTTGCTGACAAGGAACAGTTTGAATCAACGTAAGCGTTAATTTTAATTGCAATGTCCAAAACTTTGCACTACACGGCGTAATTTTCATTACATATCCGGTATTATCACCGTCATAGTAGTTTTTATTCCAGTCGGTCAAAATGACGGTACACATTTAGATGTAAACAAACAGATTTAACTTATTAGACAATTTAAATAAGGAATGGACACACGGTAAACTCTGTTGCAACGTAAAGTATATTCATTAACCTGTTTGAGAAAAATTGTCTCCGTGTTCAAATAAATTTCAAAAACGGGAAAAAAAGCAGTCTTTTACCGATACCCTGCAACAGAACCTTATTATTCTGACGAATTAAATTGACTTTATAACGCTCTTATGCAATTATTGATTGATCGATTTTCATTATATTTATTTTGTAATAGGTATCATTCATTATGCAATCAAACAAAACCAAGTTTTCCTATATTCAAGGAAACTGTAAGTTAGGACGAGCTTTCAAAACGAACAGGTAGCAATCTCCAACAAGCTTACCGAAACTCCAAATGGCGGCTCAACCTGGCTCATTTGCATAATTTATTCATAAACGCAGGAGCATAGAACTTTGTTAGTGCAAGGCAGAGTTAAGGTTCTTGTGCACTGCACACCTACTTAATGATATCTATCTACCTACAAAGTTTCATGTTGATACCTCTTGTTGTTTCAAAGTTATGTCCCTGACAAGAAAAGCGGACGGACAGACAGACAAGGCGGCAACTATATGCTCCCCCGAATTTTTCAGGGAGCATAAAAATATAATTTAGGGTCGGCATGAAATAAAGAGGGTCGGTCTGGCAACCCGAAACAGAACTTTTCTTTTGGGCTTAGACAAAGATGTTGTTAAATTTTTTGTTTATAGAAGTCTACATTTTAACAATTGAAAGCATTTTAATAGGTAGATACGTGTTCTAAAATTTAATGGGCCGACCCGGTGATGGGCCGAAACGTCTTACTCTTAGCAGCTATAAAATTTAATCAGTCCCGAAAACGTTTCACCAACATTGAAATACAATTGTAAGCGTATTTTTAAGAAGAACTCTATATATATTCCTTGAATCATGAGTTTACTAAACAAAACTTGCAAGAGTGAAAAAATATTTACCTGATTTAAACAAAATGCGACATCTGTAAATAACGGTGAAAGGGAGGTAACTCTAAAATGGATAAACTCTGTACTTGTCTACCGGATAGGTAATAAACGACTAAATTGTTTCTTTCATCAAAACGCTCATGAATGATTTAGGAGATTATATATTTCATCAATCGCAGAAAACTTTTAAAATGACTTATTTACAATGAAAATAATAATAAGATAATAATAATAATTATCTTATGCAACTTGTGATTCTTAAGCACCTTCCAAACTGACACATACATAAAAAAGAAAAAATGATTTGAGAAGCATAAGGCTAGTTAAGATATTTAATTTTATGTACTAATCTTAGAAGTTTGTTATACTAATTTTATTGGGATTTCAGATTAGAATGGATTTTTGGTCGACTGTAATTAACATTCACTGTTACGTGGCTAAGTAGGCTAGCACTGTATTTGGATATCATCATGTGGATGTCGACCGCCCCATTCACTGTGTTAACCCATTACTTCATGAGCTTTTTGTGAAAAATGGCTGTTTTCATTGAAAAGTCTCCCGTTACAAGTTCAAATTGCTATAATACTATAAAAACTGCTTCAACACTAATCAAACTTGGCACAAATGTTGACTGGACCATTGCCCTTGCAACAACATGCTCAGGCTTAAATTTTCTGTTACCATGGCAACGAGGGGACATCTCAAAATTGCCAAAAATCACTATTTTGCGTTGATTTTTTCCCATCAAAATTGATTTCAAAGTGCTGCAACTTCTCAATGGATTGAGATAGAGTCAAATGCTTTTCAGCGTTGGTTACACGTTACCTTATGATCAATCTGGGGTCATTTACAGCCTTTCACAAGTCCAAAATTTTCTTGGCGATGAGGGGGACTCCGCCCCCCCCTTCAAACCCCCCAAACAGAAGGGGGCACATCCCCCTTCTGGCAACCCCCTGATGTATCTTTTGGTTGGGGTGCCGCGCCGAAAAAGAGGTCACTTTTTTTAACAACATTTCTCAAACAAAAACAAGTGTTTGCGGCCTAAATAAGGCATTTTTTCATCATTTGAGACAACAAAAAGGGGGGGGGGGTGAAAAAGGCGTTAAAAGGCGTGTATATGAAGTAATGGGTTAATGTGGTTTAGAAGGCTAAAACTGTATGTGGACATCTTATATATAGATTTGGATATAATGAAAATCACGCAAAATCTACAAAATATTGGAATTATCTTTACTCATGACACTGTCTGAATGCTAGTAAAATGTCACGCACAAATTCGATGACATCTTCTTGTATAAAAAATCTTGGATTTGCGCCATGAATTTTTGTCACTCTTTCAATTTGACCATATTTCATTGTCTTATTTTGTGCCCAAGGTCTGAAACAGTCAGCGTTATTTACAGATATAAAGTTCATTATATTTTCTTTAGAGTATTATATACAAGATTTACTTCTGAAATATACATTGGGATCCAATTTTGGAGATTGCCAAATGTTGGACATTAGTTGTAGTTTTTGTTTCTTATGTTTTTATTTTGGTAAGTATGTCACAAATGTGCTATATATCTGTTGCATGTGTATGAGCACGGTTGTAATTTTTTTTGCGCATTTAACAAATTCATGCGAGAACATAAATTAACCTTTTCCCTTATATAAGCGTGTTTCGACGGCTTTTTGCCCCCCTTTTTGAGGCCTCAAACAGTGAAAAAATGCCCTATTTTGGCCCCAAACACTGTTTTCCGTTAATCAGAGAAATGTTGTTAAAAAAAGTGACCACTTTTTCGGCGCCGTCCCCCATCCAAATATATCATCAAGGGGTTGCCAGAAGGGGGATGTGCCCCCTTCTGTTTGGGGGGGTTTGAAGGGGGCGGAGTCCCCCTCATCGCCAAGAAAATTTTGGACATGTGACAGGCTAAAAATGGCCTCAGGTCGATCTTAGGGTAACTAGTAACCAACGCTGAAAAGCCTTTTACTCTATCTCAATTCATTGAGAAGTTGTCGCACTTTGAAATCAGTTTTGATGGGGAAAAAACAATGCAAAATAGTGATTTTTGGCAATTTTGAGACGTGCCCCCGTTGCCATGGTAACAGAAAATTTACCATTGAGCATGCTGTTACAGAGGCTATGGTGGTGTAGTCAACATTTGTGCCAAGTTTCATTAGTATTGAAGCATTTTTCATAGTTTCATAGCAGTTTGAACTTGTTACACGAGGCTTTTCAATGAAAACGGCCATTTTTCGCAATATGCTCATGGGGTAAAAGGTTAAAGGGAGATGACTGTGCTTCAATTTTTTGCTTATCTTTACCTTTACAAATTATCTTTCACCTTACAGGCTGATTAATGAAAAGTAGTGGCAAAGTACATTAAAAGCCCTATATTGATGATCCAGCATTTCTCACAAGCTACAGACACATACATGCATCAATGTGCAGACACTCATGCATCCATGGTCCATATGTTTCAGAGTGGATGTACTTTTCTAACATGTGAATTAGATAAAAACAGATGATGTACACAACTTTTTGATAGATTAATTTTGATAATTTTACAATGATTATCTTGATTTAATTTCCAAGTTTTACTAGTTGGTTGTTAATACTCGTACATAATACTCTGTATTACATCAGTACTGGTATAGTACAGAAAGCTTACATCATTTTAGGTAAAGTGTTCAGCTTAGTTTTTACATGCATATCAATAAAAAACAAACAACAATTTTTGTTATAATTAACTTTATAATCAAAGTAGAACACTTCTGTTCTGTTAATACATATAAAAGAATACATGTATATAATATATAAAAAATAAAGCACCAATTGGTCAAGATCTATTTACTAATTGTCAGCTGTGAGACTATAAAAATCACATTGAAAATTAACACACACCAAATACCTCAATTAAGAAACAATTAATCATAAATATATAAATAATTATAACATGATATTGAATTAATCAAAGTTAGGAAAAAAAAGCTTGTAAGTTGATTACCGGTACACAAGAATGAAGCTGTAATGACATACAGAGAACATCAAATATTAAAATATCCATATAGGTTACTATGAATAGTGAGACTTAAAACAAAGTTCATGTAATCAGGTTTTTACTAAATAAATGCATGTAAAAAAATCCTAAAAATTAGACACAAAAAATGACAAATATGTAAAAATTCTCAATTCAGTTTCAACTATTTTTTACCATTATCTTGGATATAATTATACCAATATTTACTGCATTTTGATTAACACTCATGTAATATGATTATCATAATAATATGAAGAAAAATCTATCACACAATCCCAATTGCATCAATGCCAGGCATAACAAAATTTTATTATGAGCACAATATATGGAATGTTAAAGTCTAGTAGTAACATTTAATGGTATCATTAATTTTTAGCACACAGTCCTTGGTTTTCAGAAAATATCTTTTTTTTTTAAAGGTATTGCATTTTTTAATGAAAAATGCAGCCTTAATATTTTGACACAAAAATTTGCACATTTCCATTTTTGTAATTACATACATATTATGTGGACTTTGAATATGTATCTTTTTATACATAAACTTTCTATGAAAAACTGTTCCAAAAAATGATAACACTGGGAAGGAGGGACGATGTGCAACTTAACAATTTAATAGGATATTGGGCGAAGGGGATAAACCTTATATGCATTATCAGAAAGAGAGACAAATGCGGTGTCAATCTTTGTATATCAAAATAAGTCATTGCTCAAATGAACTGTGCAGTGAACTGAACTATGAATTTAACTGAAACTGAAACTGTTCTCCAGGACTATGAAGACTAGAAATTTTATATCAAAACACTGGGGTATATCAAATTTTCAAAGTCAAAAGTTTCAACGAACAAGTGATTTAAAACATTCCAAGGTGTTTTTCCCCTTCAATTTGAAAGTTTGCTTGTAAAACATTTGAGCCAGTGGTTCTTGTCTGATGTGGTTGCTGCCCACTTACATACACTGCCATTTTACCTGTAACAGAAATAAATATTCGTGAACTCTTAACCAACATTTGTTAATTAATATCTTAAACTTAAAATAACGGGAGCGGTGACCTAGTGGTTAAGGTGTCTGCCTCTCAACTCACAGATCATTGGTTTAAGCTCTACTCAGGTAACAACCATGTTTCTTCATATGACACCAGTACTGGTTGGTTCCAGGAAGTGGACTTGAAAGTGATTAATATAAGTTGCAAGCAATAAGTTGTTTCACAATCGAGCATAAATAAATATGTTAAAAACCAAACCAAACATAAAATAGAATAGAATATTGCTTACATATTACAATATAATACCTGGTTTACTTTGTTACAGGAAACAATTCTCATTTATGCAGGTGATCTTATACATTATATATTATGTGGCGGCATGGCCGAGTGGTTAACGCTTCAGACTAGTAATCTTATGATCGCTAGCAGCACGTGTTCAAACCCTGACAGGGGCATGTCGTTGTTTCCTTGAGCGAGAAACTTTACACTCATTGCTCAGTACTGGTTGGTTCCAGGAACGGATTCGAAAGTGTGTTCATAAGCTAAAAGCTTCCTACACAATCGAACTAAAATAAATTCTGTATAAACCAACCTTAAAGTAGATATACATGTAACATGTAATAATTACCTGGTTGTACGACATATCCCTTGTCTGTCCAGACAGCCATTTGTTCTGGAGAGATGGTAAACTGGAACTCTTGTGTCTGACTAGATTTTATATACAATTTTTGTACTCCAACAAGCTGTATATTTGGCATTGTTTCATTTGTTTTCAACCAAGACATGTAGACTTGAACAACCTTGACAACATGCAAAGAATTGTAATATTTGAAGGTAAGTTTGTTTAAACTAATTTAGTAGACCAATGAAATCAAGCATATTTTGTCAACATTGATGTGATTGTATACACAGAATAACTTATTTAGTAATGCAACGTGTATATTTAACCAAATCAGATTAACATACCTAATACCATGCTCTAAAGAAAGAAAATTGACTATAGGTAAACTCATTCAGCCAAGTGGTTAATATGTCAGATTAAACTAAGGATCAATAGACATGTTGATTCAAACCCTGTGAGGGGCAAGCAGTAGTTTCCTTGAACAAGAAACTTTACAATCAATTGCTCAGTACTGGTTGGTTCCAAGGCAAGATTCAATCAATCTTAATTAATTCAGTATAAAGTCACCCAGAAAAGCAAAACTAAACTTTATTTCAAAAAATTACCTCATATATATTGATTGACCAAAGAATTTAATCACAATGACATGCTGTATGAGGCGAACAGGTTGGTTCCAGGAACAGATTCAAGTGTTCCAAAAAGCTTATAGCTTCCAACACAATCAAACTAGAATGAATTTGTAATACACTAAACTAATTACCTCATAAGCATCAATCATCCCTGTGTTTGTTACATGCCCGTACACTAGTTGGTTATCTCCAGCTATAATTGATTGTTTCACGGACATTTTTACATATTCAAAGTTAGAATATGATAAACCATATCCAAAAGGATAGAGAGGTGATCCTTTAAAATATCTGTACGTCTTCCCTTTCATAGAGTAATCTGTCATTGATGGGATCTGTAAAATAAAGTGTAAAGAAGGTCTATATTACTGATTTGTAATGACCTTGACTCTGACTTCCTTTCATTTGTTTTATATAAAAGCTTATACACTCACTGTCACTGACATTGCTTCATGGTAAATCAGAAACAAGAAAGTAATATATAAAGATGAACACTGTTATGGGGTTACATGACTTACAAGAATCGGCCATTCACTGGAATCAACAGGATTGGGCTAGGAATTACAAGAATCGGCCTGTAATTTTGTTATTTAGGAACATTTTAAAATTTATCTACATTTATCTATAAAATATAAACATTATATCTATATGATCTTTTACAAGACTTCTGTTATGTATAACATTTTTGATGGTTGAGAATAAAGTCACATCAACACTGTGAAAAAGATATCCGTCTTCATGGAGTAAAAACTAGAATTTGCTGGGCACATCTGAACACAGCAGTAAGAAACAAAAGTAAAATAATACCCCAAATACTATACTGGTGAACTAAAATGATCAAAAGTGGTCCAAATCAGCTAAACAAGGTAAAATAAATATATTTAGCCCTTAAACCTCTGTTGATTGTTATACTCAAAATTGGCATAATAATATTATTAATGCCAGTAGATGTCACCATTATTGTTATTTTAAAAGCTTATTAAATGTAGAACGGTATCTTCTAATAGAAATCCCTGTAAAACTTAAGAAAGCATATGCTAAATTTCGATGTTTAAATCACAAACTTAATGTTGAAATCGGTAGGCATTTAAATATACCTTTCCAATTAGCTTTTGCAACTTTTGTCTTGAAAATCATTTAACTTATCAAATTGACTGTGAATATCATTTTTTTTTTTCATTGTAAAAAATATTTAGAAATTAGAAATACCTATTCACTAAACTGGTACAATTCCGGAACTGAATTACATAACTTTTATGAATTACTTTCATCAAATTAATGATAATTATATAATTAAGAAAATCTCTACTTATATTTACCACCTCATGATCTCTATAGCACAGTAGTATTTAAATGTAATGAGAGTCAAAACTTGTAAAAGACACAACCTTATAATGTTAAATATCATATTTTGTATGACATTTATTTTGGGCCGGTGGCCTTTATTTACTGAATAAATCTTTTGACTTGACTTGTACTTTTTAAATGGACTTGTCAAGCTTTCATTTTTTTGGGTCTGTTCATTAATGATTATCAATATTACGGATACCAAGATATATATTTTATGTTAATTAGCCAATAGAATAGACACTTGTCATGTACAGATGAGCAGGCTGGCCTGGCTCTATAACTAGAAGCAATGGCTAATCACTTTTTGTTCCAGTAAGGTAAGGGTTTAAATAAAACATTTTTTTACATGACTATGTACTGTTCATGCTTATGCTGTAAGATTAACTTATGTTAAGAGTCTCAACCACAAATAAGAAATATTCTAACCTGATCTGCGGTGTTATACCAGGTGTATGGTAGTCTACCAGCCGGACTTGCATCTTCTGTTGCCATAGTAACAGTATTGAACAAGGCTTCTCCAGTAGCTTGTGCAGGGAAGAAACACTGCATTATAGCCTCCACACGAGTGTCTTTGTCTACAAAACTGATATTGACTGGTCCAGCACTGAACACAAGCAGCAAGATCGGACTTCCATGTGCTAAAAAATGATATGGAAGCAAACTATTTAAGAAAGCCTGTAATCGAACAGATGTTTGATTTATACATTATTTTCGCAAAGAAATTTCTTGAGAGGAATAATTGATTTCTTCACTTGTTATATTTTCTGAAAAAAAAGAAGATATTTTTCATTTACTAAGCAGCGATTTTAAACCAGTGATTTTAAACCAATACATTTTACAGCTAAATAAAGGCTGTTTCCCCTATCAGGTATATTCCCCTGCAATTCCTTGTTTACATCCTTCATGCAGCTGCTAAGACTTACATCAGCAAGTTGATAAATTTAACTGACCAAAAGACAGAAAACACAGGTTATTTTGAAAATTGAAAAAAAACAAAAAAAAATCACTGCTAACAGTACCCATTTCCTGTGAAGTACTGGTTGCAAACAGAATACATAATTTGAAAGGCAACATACAAAGAATTGCTTCCTATGTAATTATCTCTTATCATTCTGGGACTGTTTTTCAGCATAGATCTAAGCATGTGATCTCATTTTGCAACAAACTTATTCAGGTATTACATGTACATTAGACAGCAATGATTAAAGTAAAAGTTGTTGAGCAACAGCAATTAATACTTTGAACCTTGAAGCTGATATTTTTTGCTATAAGTCTAAGAGATTTCAATATCAAAATTGTGTAGCCAAGAGTATACAGCTTGGTCAGATGGCACAGATGTGCAGGCAGGCGTGGCTCTATACTAGTGGCATGGACAAGTAATCATTACCAACTGAAATATAAGAATCTTACACAAACTACTGATACAAACTAAAATATCTTGCTCTAAGATAACTGTTTATGGATGTTACGAGGATCTGTTGAACAGTTATCCGGGAGCCAGAAAATCTGTCTGTGATGACAGTCAGTGTTTGATTCTTTATTTTGCATAGTACAAGTTATATTTCAAAAGAAATTACAAAAACTAATATCTTTATTTAGCAAATCATAGAAAACACTTAAATTTATATAATGAACAAAATTAATATTTCAAAATTTACAAAATTAAGTTACCAGCATCAACTGCATCACGGATAAGTTGAGGCTGGTTCCCTGCCAGGTTCATATCTGGTCTATCCTTCCCCTCACACTCTAACTCTTGACCTGAAGAATTGTAATACACTTAAGTCTTATCGATGTTAAATTCTGTATCTCTTTTCTGATTACATATTCAGATAAGCCCTTGTCAAGAGAGGAACACAACATTTTTATGAAAATAATTTTAAGTATCACATTACAAAATGATTTTTATGCTGTAAGCTTCTTTAATACTAGTATACTTTAGGTGTTTCCATTTTATACTAGAATTAAAATATGAATAAAGTATTGCTCCTAAACTCAAACTTTATTTCCTACATAGATCACTGCTTTGACATATTATAGTGAACAAACTTTATGGTATTTCTTCAGATTTAATCTAATGTTAAAAAGGTAACAATTTCAATAATTTATCAAATGAAAGCCATTAAATTAAAATGATTGGGTAGAGTGACATTTTGCACATCAAACAGTAAATGGTAAGTGTTCAAGTAAAATTAAAATAACTTTACATATTGATGCATTTGTATACAATGTTTATGATAAGCGTCAATTATGTAATCAATAACCCCCTGTGACCCACATAAATACAGTATGTATAAAAATATGTATATATATTTAAAATATCGGAAATGCTCAATTTATAAAAAGAGTGAGGCAGTCATTTATATTTTAGGGCAGGCAGTTTTCAAATTTTACCCTAATCAACTGTGATTATCAATTATTGTTAATATAGTTAGTCTTTTGAAATATACAACTAATCCTATAATCTTTGCTTGACAGGGTAAAATGAGAAAAATTTCACTTTAAAAGGCTTGCATCTCTGGACATGAAATAAATTCATACCTAGAAAATGAGTAACTCATACAAAAACCAGTCTTTTAATGAGTGTTTTCTGTTATCTTTTTTTTTTTAATAATCATTACCAAAACACGATCAACTGTACTTACATACATGTATCTATATACCATTTCATTTCAGATAAAATACACACATAATGAGGCAAAAAGACATACAAATCACATTAAAAATGGAGATTATATCATTTTAATTATAAATTAAACAATAGAGATCCAATACGAACCTGTTCCTACACAGATCACCACTAGCTGTGCATCTTTCACGGCAGTTTTTACATCACTTGATGAATAATTCTCACATTTGTTGTCATGACAACCAGCTGTATAACTTACAGAGTCTGACATAGCACTTAAACCTTGTAATGGTGTTTTTGTATATTTTGTATCTATATCAGGTGCATAGTCACCATATAACTGCTCCAAATTATCAGCCATTGGTCCAATTATCTGTGAAATATTAAATTTTCATATCTCATAATATAAAACATACAGTGGGATATTGGAAAAGGTTAAAGACCTTGCCTTCTAAAGATATTTATAAGATGTCTTCTATTTTTGTAGAAATAAAATAAAATATTTATGCTGATGCACTGCAGCACTTAATTATCATTATTTTTTCTTAGTTTGGTAGTTCTAACAACTTTAAAGAACGTAAACTTTTTTTTTATCAAGGAGTAGCTTACTTCAGAATATTAACATGCAGGAGTAGGTCAGAAACCCTACAATGAATGGTCATAATGAGTATTTTTCACATTATACTATTAAATGGATAGTTTAGTGAGTTTAATGACACAAACATGATTACAAAAAAAAAATTTGATTTACAATTAGAATATAACTAACTCTTATTACAATTTAATGTGTGAAAAAGAATAGAATATAAATAACAATTTCAGTTGAATCCTTAAAATACACTTACTGCAATTCTTTTAAAGTGCTTTTTTATAGGTAACAAATTGTTATCATTTTTCAGTAGAACAAATGACTGCATGGCAGCTTTGACAGCTAGTTGCCTGTGTTCTGGACTCTGTACAACTGACAGGTTATACTGAAGATAAGGGTTCATCTCTGGCGGATCAAACTCTCCCAGACGCATGCGGGTATAAAATAGAGGCTTTACACGCTCCCGCACTAGAATCTCTGACAATTTCCCTTGATTTACAGCATCAACTAAAAAAGATGAAAGAAGAAAAACGAAAATTTGAGAAATTAAATAGGAAAATCTTAACAAAATTCAGTGTGCAGCAAAAATTTGAATGCTTAAACCATTTTTTAGCAAAATGCATTGCACAAAAAGTTAATGCATATAAATGTGATACTTAAAACTTAGGTTTGCTAAGACCATAAAAGTTAATAACTGTGCTTATATAATAAACTGATTTACATGAGATACATAAAACTATATCTTCTCTGCCAGCAGTTTACTGAACCTTTCTTTGAATTTTAATAGAGAAAAATTAAACAAGAGCGATCAGTAATCACATGTGTCGCCTCATAATGGCCAATTTCATGTTGGGACAAATTTTGTGACAGACAGACAGACAGACGGACAGTGGACAACTAGACTAAGTACTGATCAATCATGTAAAGTTTGGATAAAATTGCACCAGTAGCTTATGAGGAGTAGTCCTGACAAGCTTTTGTGTATCTGGCAACACACAGAAAAAAACACCTTTTTATCAAAGGGCCATAACTCAGCCAAAAATCATTCAACCGGAAAACCCGTGCAATATGCACAAGGACTTGAGCTACAGATCAATCCTGTAAAGTTTCACTGAAATTGCATTAGTGGTATAAGAGAACTAGTCCAGACAAACTTTAAAAATAAAAATTATTAAAGGGCCATAACTCTGACAAAAATCATTGAACCGGAAAATGCTGACAATATGCACAACTAGACTTGGTACTGATCATTCCTGTAAAGTTTGGATGAAATTGCACCAGTAGTTTATGAGGAGTAGTCCGGACAAGCTATTGTGTATCTAGCAACACACAGAAAAAAACACCTTTTTATCAAAGGGCCATAACTCGGCCAAAAATCATTCAACCAGAAAACCCTTGCAATATGCGCAAGGACTTGAGCTACAGATCAATCCTGTAAAGTTTCATTGAAATTGCATTAGTGGTATAAGAGAAGTAGTCCGGACAAACTTTAAAATTAAAAATTATTAAAGGGCCATAACTCTGACAAAAATCATTGAACCGGAAAATGCTGACAATATGCACAACTAGACTTGATACTGATCATTCCTGTAAAGTTTGGATGAAATTGCACCAGTAGTTTATGAGGGGTAGTCCGGACAAGTTTTGTGACGGACGGACGGACAGACGGACGGACAGACGGACAGACAGACGGAGAAGTGATCCCTATATGTCGCCACTACTCCGTAGAGGCGACACAAAAATACCCGTATGAAAGAAATTTGTTGGTTTATTTACATGGTTTATACACAAAATTGTTGCTAAACAGTGATTTGAAACATTTTAATTTTATTTACGCACAAGTTACAACAATCATGTGTGTTAAACAACAGACCCATTCTTTATTAGAATCAACCATAAGATTATCAAAACAACATTATTTCATTGTATTTAATATTTCTAAAAATATTCCATGAGATAAAGCTTTATATCGTTAGTTATTTGTCATGGACTAACACCCATACAAAGTTACATAAATTGAAACTTGTAACACATGGAATATGTAATATTATTATCTAGTTTTACCAAATGAAATGCAAGGATGGGGTTCCAATGACAGAGTTTACTGCTTTTGATGAAATTTAGATATAACTGTATGACTTCTTCTTGTCTTAAAACTGACACATTTTGTATCTTAATTCTAAATGTTCTTTTAATACAGAATATCAAATGGTACAAATTTAAAGCTATCATGTGTAACATAATAAATGCTAAGAATTTGATCATTCTTCAAATAAGACAAGTTAAGCTTTTACCAGAAACATTAAAAAGCTTACTTATAGCATCATAGATAACTGGATTATTTGCTGACAATTCTATATTACAGCCGGCCTTGATACATGCTGCAGCAGTGTCTACAGCTGATGTCAGGTACTTGTGCCAAAATATAATGTTTTCTAGAGCACCTTCATCACTTATAACATAACCCTTAAAGCCCCATTCTTCTCTAAGAATACTGGTCAGCAGTTTATGGCTGGCACATGTTGGCACTCCATTTACACTGAAAAAAAAATGGTTAAAGTGACAATATGCTAATTCAAGGGTACATACATGTAGTGAGTGAACAGTTGAAAGTCAAAATAAGTTAACATTGTGCCATAATTCCTTTCAATTTTAAAAATTTATAATTTACTTTGCTTGAACTCATAAATAACTTACATTAACCAGAGGAATTTTTGTAAATATTCATCGGAAATTACCTGTAACATTCAATTTTCAAAAAAAGAGTGGGGCAGACTTTTTATATTTTAGGCAAACTTAGGGACATATTGTATGCAAGTGCATAATTTTTAGTTTCTTTTGAAGAGATATGTATACAAATAACTTAAATGCACTTATCATAACAACACAAAATTACTACCACTTTGACCTCCTTAAAATGCCATTCTCCAATCACCGCCAAACTTAAAACATGTCAAACTTTATTAAACCTTAAGATATGCACTTTTTTTCTGTACTCATTTATTCATTAAGTTCTCAAAGTTTCATGAAGATTATGAATTCCAAATAAATTTATGTATGTATTAAAGTTATCTATAATTAGCTTGCAAAACACTATAGTGAGTATGGCTTATGCCATGATTATTGTCCTCAACCCTCAACACTCACCTGTTGTAACTACACATCAGACTGTATGATCCTGCCTTCACACATGCTCTAAATGCTGGGAGAAATGTCAGCCTCCAATCCCTGTCTGATACCTAGTTAGCAAGATAATGTGTTAATGTTATAAGTTCATTAATATTACCTTCTCCTCTTAATTAAATCCTTAACCTGCTGAATTTCTTAAATGGACTTGACCAGCTTCCATTTGTTCGTAATGTCCATTAACAACTTTGGGGATATCGGGATGAAAATTTAGTTAAAAACAACCAACAGCATAGAGTTTGGTCAGAATGCATAAATGAGCAGTCTGGCCTGAGTCTATACTGGTGACAAAGGTTAATTATTATCAGTTCTGGTAGCAAAGCTTATCACTTTCATTTTCAAAAGGATAAGAGTAAACCAAACTAAAAACCTTGATGAACATGTCAACAAGAGGGCCATGATGGCCCTGAGGTCACTCACCTGTATATAGGCCTCCTCCTTCCCCCTCCCACTCCTCTTTTCCCTCCTCACCCCCCTCCCCCCCCGGCAGGGCCAATTTTTTAACAAACTTGGTAGACACCCATAAGAAGATGTTTCATGCTAAACATCTAAGCTCTAGCTCATTGGGTTTTTTAAAAGAAGATTTTTTAAGTTTTTACTATACACATATAGTTAAAAACAATGACACCCCTGGGGCGGGCCAGTTTTGACCCCAGGGCTTTTATTTGAACAAACTTTGTAGACACTTACTAGAAGATGTTTCATGCTTAATATCTAAACTCTAGCTACAGTAAAAACCCGCTTTACGACCACCCCGTTTTCGAGACCAACCCGCTAATACGAACGATTTTTAAAGACCCGAATTTTTTATTCTTTATTTTAATGGTCGCTAACCCCGATTTTGAGACCATCCCGTTATTCCGTAATGCGACCAGTAAATTCAGTCCCATTTCGTAAATTCTGTACATTTGGCAACCCATAAATACGACCGCGGGCACTTTCTCACCTTGATATTGACATGCGTGTAAATTGCTGAAATCTTTTTGACACGTGATGTAAACAACAGTTGTCCTAGTTTTACGACATTTAACGACATCCAGTTTACGGCAGAGGTCAAGGTTACTTTGTATCAAACCCGGAAATGATCAATAATATTGTCGATAATTTCTAAATTTCACACCTTTAATGTCATAACTGGGGGATTAAAACAACAAAGTATTGAACAGAAAACTTTCGAGGTGTTGCTGCTATCATTATCTCTTTCGTTCCATAATTTTAAACAAATACGATTAGGTTTTTGAACTTGTTATCGGCGATGAAAACTGTGAAAATAATTAAAGGTTAATTGTTCGGTATTCTTTGTAGTAAAACGGTGATTTAATAGTGTAAGTCGTGTCATTCTTTTAACAAGAATGTAAAAATATGTTTGTGTTAAAAGACATTCATAATACATTTTGTACCTCTAAAGAAGTTAAAATATTTTATTATGTTAAAAAGTAAAAGAAAATAAATGAAAATAAAAAAATAATAGTGTATGCTTTATATCTTCTTATTTGAAATAGGTTAGCCCAGAATTAAACATGTGTACAGTACATGGTATCCCTTAATATATTGCCTAGTTTTCTGTTTGGCCAAACTCATTAATGAGACCAACCCGCTAATGAGACCAGATTTGTAAAGTCCCTTCATTGGTCTCATTAGCGAGTTTTTACTGTATTTGGGTTTTTTCAAAGAAGATTTTTAAGTTTTTGCTATACACATATATGGAAAATCAAAGACCCCGGGGCGAGGCCAATTTTGACCCCAGGGCTTTTATTTGAACAAACTTTGTGGACACTCACTAGAAGATGTTTCATGCTTAATATCTAAACTCTAGCTATTTGGGTTTTTTCAAAGAAGATTTTTAAGTTTTTGCTATACACATAAAAGGAAGATCAATAACCCCCGGGGCGGGGCCAATTTTGACCCCAGGGCTTTTATTTGAACAAACTTTGTGGACACTCACTAGAAGATGTTTCATGCTTAATATCTTAACTCTAGCTATTTGGGTTTTTTCAAAGAAGATTTTATAAGGTTTTGCTGTACACATATAAGGAAAATCAATGACCCCCGGGGCGGGGTCAATTTTGACCCTATGGCTTTTATTTGAACAAACTTGGTAGACTCTCATTAGAAGATGTTTCATGCACAATATCTTAGCTCTAGCTCTTCAGGTTCTTTAAAAGAAGATTTTTTAAGTTTTTACTATAATATTATGCAAATAGGGAAAATCAATGACCCCCTGGGGCGGGGCCAATTTTGACCCCAGGGCTTTTATTTGAACAAACTTGGTAGACACTCACTAGAAGATGTTTCATGCCAAATATTTAAGCTCTTGCTCTTAGGGTTTTTTAAAAGAAGATTTTTAAAGTTTTTTCTTTCGGTTGCCATGGCAACCAGAGTTCTGCATGTAATTAAATTCTTTGAACAATTTTTAAAGGTGACCAGCAAAGGAACATTCCTGTGAATTTTGGATGAAATTGGCTTAGTGGTTTATGAGGAGATGTCATTTAAAGTAAAAGTTTACGGACGGACGCCGGACGAAAAGCGATCACAAAAGCTCACCCTGTCACTTTGTGACAGGTGAGCTAAAAATGTTATAAAGAAACACACACATTATTCATATACGTGACAGAGTAAGGTTCAAGCATCTTGTCCTTTAATATACATGTAGTCACTTGCCCTTAACCTGTAATGAACTTGCTGAAGTTTTTCTTATTTCACATTAAATCAATTACAAGTTTTTCTTATTTCACATTAAATCAATTACTATCACACATGTGAAGTGCACATAAAATATGAAAATCATAACTTTTCCGATCAAGAAAATCTAAAACTTGCTGATCAAGAAAACAAAAACATTATATTTCAAGAAAATGGAAATGTTTCCAATATTTATTTTTAAAGTAAATCAAAATGTTTCCATGAAGAAAATCAGAATGTTTAAAATCAAATTTTAACCATCTACCTTTGCATCAAAAGAAAATCTTGGTTCTGGGATATTTTCTGGACCACCATGTACATCAAAATGTTTGCACCCAGCATTAGCTCTAACATATCTAGCATGGTCACCTTGTAATCCTTTTACAAAATACTCTGCTAAAACGCCACTTAAATATGGGTCTTCTCCATAGGTCTCCTGAAATGTGATAAAAATTTGCACATTACATGTATACATCTAATTAAAATAAGCTCATAAATAGCCTATATAGTACATAAGATCTGAATTTTACTCAGATTGAATGAATATTCCTTTTTATTGTCTATTCATATGTATTCAATAAAAACTATACATTTACTTTTCCAATAATTAAATTCTTTATATCCCTGCAGCTGTAATGACAACTGTCAGTCTACTGGTACAGAGTAAAGTGAGTTCACATACATACATGCAATGTTGGACAGAATTTCATATTCCATTATTATGCTGATCTAATGTTTACACCATAAAACTAATTTACATTGACAGTCCATCAATAAACACAAATATCAATGTTTAACTAACTTAAATAAAACCTTAAAGTACTCCACTGAGGTCCAAAAGCCGAAAAAATAAAATTTAGATCAGCCAAGGCCAATAAAACAGAAAGATGAAGAAATATACATAGAATTAAGTTAAAATCATATATTTTATTCTTTTGAATTTCTTAGCCAAATTAGAGTAAAAAGGGTTGCAATGCTTTTCAATTCTAGGTTATTTTTCACAATTAGAGCAATATTTCTAGGAAAACAGATTGAGTGAATGATCTGATATTTTGCACATAAGTTTTTGGTCCAGCCCTGTATCAAATAAAAACATAAAGCTTGTAAAATAATTCCCAGTCATGTCATGTCAAAAGTCCTCAGTAGAGTCCCTTTAATTCTAAAAAAAATGTACAAAACTTTGATACCTGATTTCTACCCCATAGTGGATGTCTCATGATATTGATTACAGGACTGAAGCAGCTCAAACCTTTATGGTCACCATATTGTTTCTTCCTAACATAATCAGTATGCTTTGCCCTCACTTCAACACCTGTTGCTTCTGCTACATCAAATATAAGTTGAGGACTGAAAGTAATTTAGTAAAAATTATGCATTTTTCTGTCAATGATATTTAACATTAATTTTATTAAGCTATCCTACATTTAGCTGGCTCAAAATAAATAACTTGATTGCTTTATAAACTAAAAGAAATTTTGTATTTTCTATCATGTGCATCAACCTTCTGAAATGAACAGGAATCAAGTGACCTTGCTAATCTTTGCAATCATTCCTTATACGTATAAAAGTGTCTTATCCCAATTTTATTCAGTTTGATTGAATTCTGGACAATTTTATCAAATTTTGTTCTTGTTTTAAAATTTGATTAATCTCTTGGATCCGAACAGAGTTTACCATTTTTTTGTTGGTACACTAATAATGATGCTTAATTAATGGGTGAATTAAGCGTATGATTTGTGAAGGTGTGAAATTATACTTTGAATGTATTGATTTTTAACGTAGATGTCTCGATTATATTCTAAAACCGTCATTTTTCAAATGTTACTAGTTTTTTTTAGTGAAGAAGAATGACGGTTTTGGAATTGTGACATTTACATTAAAAAATCATTACATTCAAATAAATTCGAGTTCTACAAAGTAAAACCTCTCACAAAAACCAAGTGACTATGCTATACTAGGCAAAAAGAAGCCGATATATAAGTATTATAAATGTATATATGAGCAATAAGACTCAAAAAATAAAATCTTTATTACTGGCGGCATACCTAAATGCAGCAGCAAGTCCAATGGCTTGTGGGAAAGAAGTTGCCTCTCCAGCAATTGGTATCCCTCGTAGACATTCTTCATTCCATTGGTAAGGGCCAATACCTAATCTAGGAATGGCAGGAGCCGGCCCACCTTTAATGCCAGCCCCTCCCTTCGCTAACTGGTCCTTTATTTCAAGCAATGACAATCTATTTACTAAATCGTTGACACGATCGTCCCAAGGCAGGGAAACATTTTGAAATGGATATGAACAGGTACAACCATGGGCGAAATAAACGATTAAACTGCATAAATATCTGATGACATACATATTTTAAAGTAAAGTAGCATTCAGTAGGTAATTGTTTTACGAAATATTGTTAGTGTGATGTAATAAACCAATTCATACAACTAGGATATTTTGTTAAAATTAATTTTTTATTTGTTTACATTCTGCCGGCTTTTCAGAAAATAAACACGCTGTGATAATTATCATTACGATACTTGAAAATAGTATTCGGTATTACGGAATGATCGGCTAGGTTTAACGACACTAAATAACACCATCGTAGCGTATATAACCACGGATTTATATTACAAGGATCGGACACTTTCGTTTAGCTTGAAGTCCCGTCGCGCGCATGCGCGGAATCGGATAAAGGTGGACAGAACGAGATGGCGGAACGTGCGGAGTACGAAATATGACAGATTTTCACCGGAGTATGTGGTGTTATTGCAGCTTTGTGAAAAATTATACACATATGAATGTATTGATACAGTATCATTTTGTGTCGCTAAAGTATTATTATATGAAAATATGCTGATAGAACGCTGCAACGCTTAGTTAAAAAGTACCTAATTTAAAAAATATTCGCCTATTGTTTAGGCATACTCTCTACACTTCGCCGCCCTTTTACTTCAAGCACGAATTATTACCGCGATTCAGAATAAGATAATTATTTTTTACATGGTTTAATGATGGCATTGCAAAAAAACGTTTCTTGATTGCTAAAAAACTTTTAAAGAAATTCATGTTTGAAATGTGTCTTTATTTCTGTGAATTATTTCCAAATGATTTGTACATTTTTTATTTGATTACCTGTATATTAGTATAAATATAGTAAATATTCTACTATTAAGTGTATTAAATATATTTTCAGATCATTCTAGACAAGCATTCCTATATAGATGAATATATTAGATTGGCAAGGAAGAAACTTTTATTGGCATAGAGAACAGCTGTTTTATAATATTATTTTTTATTTTGAAACATAATTTTTTCATAGATATCCTAAACAATTCACGTCAAATGATTTATTTATCACATGTTTATTTTCATCATTTTTCAGAGAAAGGACTATACAAATTTAGTTGTATATTTTCAATTTCATTTATAAATGTTAATAAAGAAAATAGATTTACATTGTATTTATATATATCCTCTTCAGAATCATTTTCTTACCACATATGCCATGAACTGTAGTTAAAGACCGCGCATATACAAGATATACAATCAAATTATATTTGTTTTTGAAGATTGAGTGTTGCAATTATCACATGTAACCTGGTAATGAAAGTTTGGAAATAAAGTTTTTTAATTATCACTTACCCCCCTTCAAAAGTAATTAAACTTGAAAGAAATTTAAGCGATGTGTAAAAAATAATCAACAGTTACTTTTATTTCGCAAAATACTGACTCAAACTGTAAAGATTTTTATTTATTGTTTTTCTAGCGTTACATTAAAAAGTATAATAAATATCTTTCTACAGGCATTCAAATAAAAAGAATAATTAAAATATACGGATTAAAATATACGAGTGACATTAAAAAGGCCGGAATCGAGACAGCCACACGAGAGAACTTTACTGTTACGATGATTGTCTACTTCACTGCACCGACATTTGAAAACAGATTTACAAAAAATGATAATGATATAAATGATGATTCTATGAATATTGACAATCTCGGCAATATTTTGTACTAAAAAATGAATAAATTTTCTTCACGTGTAAAGGCCGCAATACATTACCCGTAAAACAATTGTGCGTTAATAAATTTGACTACATAACCCAACAAATCTTAAATATTGCATCTTTGATCATCTGTGAATAACTTACATCGGCTTCTTTTTTGTTTTGAAACTGAAAGTATTATGGTACCGTAATAATAAATTTCAAATACCTGCTTTTTATATAAAAAAATGTAAATTTACCGCGGATTTCGTCAAGTTAATATTTTAACCGTCGTTGCGGACAGATAAACTGTACTTTTAAAAAATAAATTAGATATTTGAATTAACCAAGTATTTTTCTTCAAAATAAACTTTGAATTTCCAAAATCGGATAATAAATGAAAAAGCTATATGGTATTTTGTAAAGTAGGTATCCGTTGCGAACGGGCATTTACGCTTCGCGCCGGTAAATTATCGATCGATGTACCTTTATCGGGTGCACGACAAGATATTTAAGCATTTATATAGGGTTAACTGGGAGTGTCCGATCCCACTAAGCTGTAAATATTCATCTTATATCACACCTTTTATCTAATAAGTCTCATTTGAGAGGAGATATATTTCGCAGATTCTCAATAGGGTGTAAACAGCAAAGTGCATTTTCTAAATGGAAGGAAGAAAAACGGTACGGGCATCATGTATCCAAAAGTATTTTTGTTTTGTTTTCCAAGAAATGATTTTTCTGCATGTAGGCTGCGCAAACATGTGTATTATAATGTTGAAATAATGAATTTAGAACATGCGGATGTTAATCACATGAAGAAAATAGCGTCGAATATCAAATAATTTGTGATAAAGGTGGCAAAATGTGAACATAGTGACTTACACTCAAAATACAAAATTACTTTTATTGTAGTAGTTACAAAAATGCAAAAGAAACAAAATACGGGTATGTCAAAGACAAATTAGTATTTTTCTTTGAAACCGTATTAGGGTACCAAGAATAAAAATCCTTAAAGATTATAAAAATAAATATGACAGCATATTTCAGACTTCATGGGCTTTTAATGCGTGATTACGTGTTCGAGTCATCTATTTCGCATACATGATTAAAGAGTGTTTGTCCAATTCAAATAGTCTGGTCTGATATGTGATTGGCCAATAATGAATACATCTTGGTTTGGATATAAAACTTGAACAACTTCTAACACTTAAGTTTGTGGTTATTATGCATATGTTAAAATATTTTTTTGTAAGACAGACAAATGAAGTTAAATGCATTTGTAAACCATTTTATTTAGAATACTCTATAACTTGTAAGCCAGAATTTAAGCGGAATAAGGTCATTTATAATAAATGTTAATGTTGGCAATAATGTCAAAGAATTATGTATTTATATGATACATGCGTATCTTGATTTTATTTCAGTTGCACATGCATTTATAGAAGAAATATGTTAACGGTACAAAACAGACATACACATTATATTGCAACTATTCAACAGTCAAAACACATTGACCATTCATCCATCTAGAGATGTGCATAACGTTTTTTATTCTTTCCTTTTCTTCTTTATTACTGACAGAATAAATTGTGCACTCCTGCATGTAACAAAATGTGAATAAAATGTTAACACATTCATATCACGATGCAGCTACTTTTATCAGCAACACTGTAATCATTTTATCAAAGTTTCCCTAAATGTTTCTGTCCCACTATTTCAAACTGCTGTTGTAAAATATTTGAGCCGACAGTTCTCTTCTGACCAGGCTGCTGCCCACCGACATAAACTATCATTTTACCTGTAATAAATGAAAAACGTCTCGTAAAATAATTTCAGCAAAGTGGAATGTAGATGCATATAATTATATTTGAGTAATTTTATACAGAAATATCATATAGCAGAACTTATTTCACTTGCTTTGCTATTCCATATATGTGCTAAGCATTGAATACGCTCTGAATCCATTATTAAACACATGTTTGCCAGTTTTAATGAAGAATATATATTTTCTTTTCATAGGCAATGTGCCTTTAACTTAGAATGCCTTTCTTGACTTTTGAATGATGTACATTTGTATTAACAATAAAAATATAATTATGAAAACGTTATACTAATTTCCTTTGAGATATTAAACACACTATTTGTCGCACCTGCTTGCACCGTAAAGCCGGAGTTTGTCCAAACAGCCATTTGTTCTGCAGAAATAACAAACTGAAATTCCTGTGATGCCTGTGATTCGATAAACAGTTGTTGGAAACCTACAAGCTGAAGGCTTGGCATTGTTTCATTTGTTGTTAACCACGACATGTATACTTGAACAACCTATACATTCAAAGGAAGACATTATTTTATCAATAATACGATTATCACATTTGACATGCAAGTCATCAGAAAAAATGTCTTGTTTTAAATGTCTTAATTATATGAAATGTACACACATTTGTATATACATAAAGTTTAAACACACCAACTGCAGTCTTGAAAGAAAAATAGATTTTATTCTGTAAGCTGAACAGTTTTTTTTAAAACACGTGTATCTATGTTCTGCAATTATAGATTTTTAAAAAATTTCAAAAGTAACAAACGCACTATATTAAAGACGGGTCTAAAGAAACAAACACTTTTCGAAACACTCAAAACTGTAACAACTGCAATTATATCATCGTCGGGACCAACGGGCTCTGATTCAGCTGACAACATTCATAACGCGAATGGAATATCACGTACGAGTAACCATGTTTTACAGAGGATGCAGTTATATCAGAGGCAGAGTATCTTTGAAAAACTAAGTGTGTCATCAATTTATAGCAGCGAATTCTCATCATCGCTAACCAAGGCGATTACCGGTATCGGTTATATCTAAGTGTGTCATCAATTTTGCCGATAATGTTTTAGCAGCGCATTTTCATCATCGATAACCAAGGCGATGACCGGTATCGATTATATCTAAGTGTGTCATCAATTTTGCCGATAATGTTTAGCAGCGCATTTTCATCATCGATAACAAAGGCGATAACCGGTATCGATTATATCTAAGTGTGTCATCAATTTTGCCGATAATGTTTAGCAGCGCATTTTCATCATCGATAACCAAGGCGATAACCGGTATCGATTATATCTAAGTGTGTCATCAATTTTGCCGATAATGTTTAGCAGCGCATTTTCATCATCGATAACCAAGGCGATAACCGGTATCGATTATATCTAAGTGTGTCATCAATTTTGCCGATAATGTTTAGCAGCGCATTTTCATCATCGATAACCAAGGCGATAACCGGTATCGATTATATCTAAGTGTGTCATCAATTTTGCCGATAATGTTTTAGCAGGGTATTCTCATCATCGATAACCAAGGCGATTACCGGTATCGGTTATATCTAATATAGTATATAATTTTTATATGGAATGTGTACCGGGGTTCCTAAATGTAGTATATATGAAATGTGTACCATGGGTTCCGAGGATGTTTTACCTCATAAGCTGCAAATTGACCCGTGTTTATGAGTTGTCCATACAAATACTGGTCATCTCCAGCAGCTATCGTAGGTGTTAGAGTAAGCTTAAAGTACTCAAAGGTTGTGTATGAAAGACCATAACCAAACGGATAGAGAGGTGAACCTTTGAAATATCTGTATGTCTTTCCTGTCATAGAGTAATCTGTCATTGATGGAACCTGAAATATATATAACAAACAAGTTTATATTTAAAGTTTTAAAATAACAGAATTTTTAACTGAAAACCACAGAATCGGTGATATTTAATGGGAAATGAACTACAAACCGCATCTCGCACGACCCCTTAAGCACTAGCTTGAGCAATAACCAATCTTCAGAAATCAATTATAATGAATGCCCATAAATTATATCCGTTTGTTAGCTGAACCATTTGCTTTGTATCATATCAAATTGAGAATAATATATAATAATTATAAATGAACAATTTGTTACAATACCTGATCTGCAGTATCGTACCAGGTATACGGCAGTCTTCCTGCAGGACTGGCATCTACTGTTGCCATGCCAATGGTATATAAAAGTGCTTCTCCGGTAGCCTGAGCAGGGAAGAAACACTGTAGAATGGCTTCAATACGCGGATTTTTATCAGCAAAGCTGATGTTTACAGGTCCTCCGCTAAACACGAGCAGTATAACTGGGGTTCCTTTGGCTGAGAATTTAATAACAAAAAATAAACAGACTGCATCAGAATGAAACATATAGTATAGAACAATTCAACCACCAGGATGTTGCTATGATTTTAGTTTGAACAATATTATAATTTGAAGCGTATCATTTACATGATAAGTTACATTTACATGAGATATAAATTATTTGGATTGAGTAAGAATATTTAACAACTTTTTCTTTCTCTCTTCGTAAAATAATCAAAATATATTTATCACACACCCGTGCCGATTTAGCGACTCCGTAAATATGGTATTGCACGACCGTGTATATATTTTGACATGACGTCATTAGCGTTATACAGAAGCCTAAATGTTAGCGTTATACTGTAGGCGCGTCAATGAAAAATGACTCTTATTTCACTTTAAACGGTCTTTATTTTGGGTATGTGATAAATAGAATATTAAAGTCGTGTAAATTCATTACTGAATTTATTGCACTCTTTGAATAAAAAAATATTATGCTCGCCAGAGGCTCGCATAATATAATTTTATTCAACTGTGCAATAAATTTATTATTGAACTTACACTCATTCAGTATCCTCTATATATGGTATGGTAAGTAGTATCTACTCCATGAAAGTAGTTATTATGTAGCAAAACGAAGATTTCTGTTCATTAATTGACATTATGATCATGCCTGTGATTTGAGAATTTCGAATTCACAACAACCATATTAAAGAAAATAAAAAAAATACAGAACGCCTATATGTTAACATAGATAATGCTGCAAAGGCTCATATTTACCGATACAGAAAGGCAGCAGATTTGACCTTACCTGCATTAACGGCGTCTTGAATGAGTTGTGCTTGATGGCCTGCAAGGTTCATGTCCCTTCTGTCGTTACCCTCAGCTTCCAGTTCTTGACCTGTTTGTTTATAATGGAGACATAACAAACATTGAAACCACCCAAGTGTATATAGTGAGTGAACAGGTGAAAGTCTAAATATTTTTACATTTTCCCATAATTCCTTTCATCTGAATTTAAATGAAATGTTCAATTTATAAAAATAAACGTATACGTAATAATTGTTTTACCGTGTAAATGTATGAGTTTACAGTGTAAATGCATTTTTTAATTGGGTGTCTAAAAGTATAATATTTCGTAAAAAGTACAATCTTACCTGTTCCGACACATATCACCACTAACTGCACGTTTTGCACGGCATTTTTGATACTCTCAGCTGAATAATTAGTACATCTATTATCAGAACATCCTGCAGCATAGTTGACTTTATCTGCCATATAACTGAGACCTTGAAGTGGGGTTTTAGAATATTTGGCATCCACGTCAGCTGCATAATCTCCATATAATTGTTCAAGATTGTCAGCCATGGGTCCAACTATCTGTAACAAAGTTCAGTTTATTACAAACTCTTGTAGTTATACTACCACTACCACTGCCACCAACATCACCACCACCACTTCTACCACTACCACTACCACTTATACCACTACTAACACTACCACCACTCATCATCATCTTCATCATCATCTCCAGTTCTATTATTATCATTATGTATACAATGTATTAATATTCACCTGAAAAGGAAATTTTCCTGAGCATTTTTGTTCATACGTTATACAGAAATTGTATTTTCTGATGTATAGTAAATGTATTATCAAACTTACAGCCATTTTATTAAAGTGCTTTCTGATTGGTAACAACTTGTTTTCATTCTTCAACAGCACAAACGATTGCATGGCAGCTTTGAGGGCAAGAAGACGATGAGCTTCACTCTGAACAAGTGACATATTATACTGTAGGTACGGATTCATCCCTGGCGGATCAAACTCTCCAAGGCGCATGCGTGTGTAGAATAAAGGTTTCACCCGCTCACGTACAAGTTTCTCGGATAACCTTCCCGTTTCAACGGCTTTTACTGATGACAAATAAACATAAGAATAATTATGTACAATGAATCTCAATAATAAGATATAAAGTAACAGTGAATCTCAATACTAATACTCTTCGAATAACAATAACAGATTTCAACAACAACAACATCTGAAAGTGGACAAATCTCCGTACGAAATAACTTTTAAATTAGTAGAAAAGCGACCAGTTTCATTAAAAAGCCAAAAAACAATAATATTATATCATAATCTTACACTTTCGTCTAAAAAAGACTGCAACATCATATCATTTTTGTTTAATTGGTGTTCGCTCCTTCGATTCCCATTCCGGGGCGGTATCAAAATGTCCTCATGGTTTGAATTGGATATTGTTATTGACTGAGTTCTTTGAACATTACAATCGGTTTGTTAAAATTATATTTGATAGATTTTACACAAGCTGAGGGTATTAAAATATATAAAATCAATTATCTATATAAAACAAATACAAATGTAGATACTGTGGCATCTGCGTTAAATAAAACGATTGATTAATTTACGTCTGGTAATTTTCGAGGAAACATTGACCATATCTTAAACATGTTTAAAGAAAAAAAAAGAATTCTAAAATTGCGCCTTACTTATGGTGAAGAAATATGGGTCTTTCCTGTTTGTTGTAAGCTCTAAGTTAAGACCAGCGGTTATGACGTCAACCGTGGCTTCCATGCTGTTGTTGGCATAGTGATGGAATAGTACAATATTTTCAACGGCTTCTTCATCACTGATAACGTAACCAGAAAATCCCCATTTCTTCCGCAATGTGTTTGTGAGAAGTTCTGTATTTGCACAAGCAGGTATACCATTTATCCTGTGAATACCATTTGTATTGTCAAACATATATTTAATGCCAATATACTTAGCAAAATATGTTGTTTTGACATTTTCCACTTCATTGTACATGTAACATATGTTTAATGAACTTATCATCGTATATACAGATTTATGTACAACATGTAATTTTTCTAATTACCTGTTAATTGCTGATTTTAAGAAAAGCACATATCAAAGTTCAAGAAATCAGAACATTAAAGCAGGCATATTTATCAGACAATAAATAAATCAAAGTTGAAAAGAACACATAATGTACGTCAGACTCCGACCTACATATTATCAAATATATCATCCCTAGAGTACATATTTATATATGAAACGTGTTTGAATAACATCTGATTGTCATATTATAGAAAAGATAAGCGTGGTAGCATTTCCGGCATTAAACGATCAACGTATGACGAGCAATATGTATTATTTTGAATTATACACAACAGAAATTTCAACATACTTATTAAAACTACACATTAGACTGTAGGTCCCTGCAGCAACACATTGTCTGAACGCTGGTAAAAATGTAAGATGCCAGTCTCGTTCGCTAACCTTTCACATGAAATGAAAATAATTGACATAAACTTGATTAATCATAAAATATATCCCTTAATGACATAAACTAATTAATGTGCAAGACTGATACTTATTCACTTCCAAAATGTTCATTGCAGTTTAATTTCTATTGCATAAAGGTTTAAACATGTTTCTGAACATCTATTACTACATTTATCTAAAATTCAATAAAATAAACATGGAAACCCATTTCAACTCATTTTTTAATATTTCTTATCTAATTACCTTGGCATCAAATGAGAATCTAGAGACTGGTATATTTTCCGGTCCTCCATGTACATTGAAATGCTTGCATCCAGCACTGGCTCTTACATAGCGTATGTGGTTGCCCTGTAACCCTTTCACGAAATATTTCGCATACACACCGCTTAGATATGGGTCCTCCCCGTATGTTTCCTACAATATAGACACACTATGGTTGAAAAGGTAAGGGATGTGCTCTATATCTTGAACGTGCATTTCTAGACAAAACGATATGAATATAAATCAAACAAAATAATACCTGTCAAAATCATTTGTGATGCCTTTCTCTTGTACCTTTGTCTACATACAATCTTGCTCTATCAAAGAAACTAGAACGAAATGACAAAATGATATTTATCGACAATAGATGCATATATAAACAGTCCGAGATAGCATTCAGAAGACGTTTTAACTCGGGTTTATGGTCAACAGCTTAACAAATTACTTGCTTTTACAACTGTTGTTACATCATCATCATATTTATTATCATCTCCATCATCATTGTCGTCATCAACATCATCATCATCATCATCACCACCATCATCATCATCATTATCATCATCATCATCGTCATAACCACCACCACCGCCATCATCATCATCACAACAATCATCATCATCACAATCGCCATCATCATCATTTACCTGATTTCGACCCCATAGTGGATGTCTCATGATGTTAAGCACAGGACTAAAACAAGCTAATCCCTTGTGGTCACCATATTGTTTCTTCTTCACAAAATCGTTATGTTTTGCTCTTACTTCAACACCAGTGGCTTCGGCTACATCAAATATAAGCTGTGGGCTGAAAAGCAACAGTAAAATAGCTCTTAAACCTGTTTAGATTCTAATTACAATACTTCGTAAGCTCCAAAGAAAGACGATATTAACGTTATTATAATAACTAAATATATCACGATTTTAGGTGAGTATTTTTTTGTTGTTAATTAAGCAATTTAATATTCTTTCTACTACATTTTGCATTCATCAAATAACAATCGTAATGGTATACATACTTAAACGCGGCTGCAAGACCTATTGCTTGTGGGAAACCGGTTGCTATCCCAGCATCCGAGTCTCCGCGTAAACATTCTGTGTTCCAGGCGAAGGGTCCGATCCCTAAACGTGGAATTGCCGGTGCAGGTCCCCCATGAGTGGAAGTGCCTCCTTTAGCCATTTGAAACATGACATCAGGTAGAGTCAGGCGACTGACAAGATCATCGACACGTTTATCCCATGGCAGAGATATATTCCTGAACGGAAAATCACATAACACAACACCATACAAGTTACATATCACAAAGGCTAATTCTGTAACTTTAGACCGCATATTTACACAACATATATCAATACACGCGTGTTAACAACCAATTCATCTGAATAATAAAAGTTTAAGTCATATGACTTAATTAATTAGATATTTAACATTTTAATGTTTATAAAAACTGTCTATGACAGATTACCGACGCGCATGAATACATATTGCGTAGGCTTACAGTTTCCCAATGCGATGTAATGTTAACATGCTTCGTGTTTTATGAAACGGTAATGGATATAAAAACGTTTATTAAAGCTAGATATATTGAGTTATTATAATGAATATAATAGATCTGGTATAGAAACAATATAAAATATTAAGTACGTCTGTGCAATTGTTTTAATTCATAAGATTATATTTGCATTTTAATGACTTGAATCATAAAAAATACGCTTTCTATGTGATTTTTAGTTTTTATGTGTACATATAATTTGAAATATATGTTTTGTGTGTATTCATTAAAATAATTCAAGGTGTCCAGTTAGTATAATGTTGTACAGTTAGACAAAAATTGATATATTGTAGAGTAAAGTACTGTCTTATAAGTTTGGGCGATTTACGCTCTCTCATAGTTATATATTGTAAATATTTTCACTTCATAAGAATAAGAAAACCCTGTAGGTTAGGCCTACTATCATGTACCATTTTTTAGATTTTATCCCGACTATTAAAATGAAACATTATATATCTAGATCGATGTAACATTTTAAAGTTATGTTTTGTTAACCCTTAACCTACTGGGTCCAAAAGTGATTAACAGTTACCTCCAGTATAGAGCCAGGTCAGATTTTGATACAGTATCACCATACTGTGTATCTCATTATTTGAGCCGTGTCATGACAAAACCAACATATTGGGTTTGCGACCAGCATCCGCGCAGTCTGATCAGGATCCATGCTGTTCGCTATCAGTTTCTCTACTTGTAATAGAGTTGGTAAGCGAACAGCATGGGTCCTGATCAGAATGCGCGGATGCGCAGGCTGGTCTGGATCCATGCTGGTCGCAGACCCATTATGTTTGTTTTGTCATGATACGGCTCAATTGTATTTTCATACTGAAATCCTTTGAAATACTTCAAATGGACTGCTCCAAATTCATACCTGGACAGATTTATCACACACAATTAACAGGTAAAATATTTGTATTATTAGATGATGATTTCGTTACCTGATACTTCATTTTGTGTGTCATTTGCTCATATGTCATCTTCATTACAATGCTATACCTTATAGATGAAGTTGTAATGTGTTATTGAAAAAAAATCACAAAAAAAAAAACACACAAAAACATCGTTATCTAAAAGATTTTTTCTTACATATCTTACACTATATAATTTTATCATACCATTATTGAGTCTAAGTAATTTGTTACGATATGATGTTAATCAACAAAAGCCTTGCATCAACAAAACACATGTCTTCCGTAGCCGAATGGTTTAGGTCGCTGACTACATGTCATTTGCTCCACTTATTGCTATATGGGTTTCTAAAATGTCATGGGAGAAAGTCGTGAAGTCTTTCAAAGTTTTGTAGCAAACTAGGAAAAGGACAGTGATTTAACCAAATAACACGTTTTACAAATGCCTGAAAAAAATGCACCTTCGGTAACCAAACTTTTAGTTCTAATACTTTCTATCACGACTTTTCATTTACTAAAAATGATTTATTAACAAAAAGGGAAAACAAATACTTGTTTGATGTTAAGAAAAGTAGTTTTGAATTAAACACTATTTTCATTTTTACAACACCCTACACATATCGTCACTTGAGTTATAGTGAGAGCAGTGGTGAAAGAAGTAACCGGTGCGAGAGGAGTTTCCGAGGAAAATGAGGCATTCATTCAATTAAGCTGACAAGTAAGTCGCCGATTTTTTTCACACCTTTTTCAGATAATGATAACTCATAATGCAAACTTGGCAAATGCTCCATTCTAAATAGTTTTGTGTAAAAGATATGTACGTTATCTCAATACAAAATTGGCATCATACTCAGTGGTTCAGAGAGACATGTTTACAACAGCCTCGCCTATTAAACTAAATGATTGATGAGTCCAGCACCTTGCATTGTAACAGTCCTTACAAAGATCTAAACATTGGTCTGGTCTGGACATCAATGCAAGACTTGCTACCGAGATTGCCTGTATAGAAGTAATAAAGCTTTAATTGATACTGAACACTGATCAAGTCCAGAGAGGTGGTTGCGGATTTACTGTTGTAAGAATACTAACATTATCCAATGGAAAACCAATTGAGCCGCGTCACGACAAAACCAACATAGTGCGTTTGCGACCAGCATGGATCCAGACCAGCCTGCGCCTCCGCGCACTCTGATCAGGATCCATGCTGTTCGCTTACCAACTCTATTACAAGTAGAGAAACTGATAGCGAACAGCATGGATCCTGATCAGACTGCGCGGAGGCGCAGGCTGGTCTCGATCCATGCTGGTCGCAAACGCACTATGTTGGTTTTGTAGTGACGTGGCTCAATTATTGTCTTACATTGCTTATACGAGGGATGACACAGAATTACCCAGAATTAAGCCACAAGTTCAATATTGTTTGTAATAAATCCATATAACAAACAATATATTAATGCGTTATATAAGCTCTTTGCAGGGATTACACATATCAAAACAATTAAACACATTGTGGCCACCACATGCATATCTAAGCAAACATAGTAATGCGGATACCGCACAGTCCGAACATAAGCGGTGACGAAAACATTGTCAAGGTATTGGCCGCTGTATAAACAATCTGGACATTACTGATATGTTTCAAATAATACCAAACTTTTTCAATATATATTTTGATATATTTCTATTCACTTGTTTGACAATGCATTTATATTTTGTATATCTATTTGCTTATTCGCCTCTCCTCAGTCAGCTTCGACTCTACAATATCTTTTAACCCATTTAAAGCAATCTGAAAAAGCAACAAAAACAAATAAACATCAACATGTAATTTTGTAATAAAACATCAGGTTTGAACGACGCTTTAGACGTTCATATTGTCTATATATACAAAGCTACTACTGCAAATTGATCAATTTTGAACAAAAATGCAAATTGAATAATTTTGAACAAATAAAGTTTTTTTTCATCATTATAAATTCGATATCATTTATTTGAAAATTAAACAGTAGCATATAAACTACGGTTTGCAAATAATCACTTGCCACAACGAGTGTGTAAATCATCTATGTAATGAATTTTAATGCGTTCTATTTCATCTAAACATTCAGTAAATCACGGAGAAAAAACACATACGATATTATACCTTTTTTCTAGCACCTATTCTTGGAAATTCCTCGAAGATAAAGTAATGATCAGGTAACAGACTTGCTATAAGCTAGGATAAAAAATAAAACATAATTATAAACTTACTTATTTAAATTGCCAATGAATGAATAAAATGGAGAAAAACAAACGTCGTGACCTGAAATATTACGACATTTTTATGCAGTTATGTATAGCACCCAGAATGTTATCTATCGTTATCCAATCATATATATAACACTATAGTGTGTTATTCATTTAAATTGTCCACAATAGGCTTACACGTTTTTTAATTTCTAGTTATAAAAACAAGACAAAGCCAGTATTTAAATAGTCTATTTCTTCAATATTTCAGGTGGGATACATTATACACACTCTAAATCTCAGTGTTTTGATTCCAAACAAATTGCCAATGAATGAATAAAATGGAGAAAAACAAACGTCGTGACCTGAAATATTACGACATTTTTATGCAGTTATGTATAGCACCCAGAATGTTATCTATCGTTATCCAATCATATATATAACACTATAGTGTGTTATTCATTTAAATTGTCCACAATAGGCTTACACGTTTTTTTAATTTCTAGTTATAAAAACAAGACAAAGCCAGTATTTAAATAGTCTATTTCTTAAATATTTCAGGTGGGATACATTATAGACAAAACATTATGAACCTATAAACAAGTACATGCAATCTTGTGTTATTTAAGACAAATAGTGGGAGTGTCCTTCCCCCAACAACATTTCTACACTCCGCTTGTTTAGAAGGGACTATAAGTTCTAGTTCTAGCTCTACATCATACTGCTTTAAAATCGTTTACGATCACTCTAAGCATGTATGCATTGTTAAAATTTTTAAGAGACAGCTATGAGATACAAGGGAATCCGGGAACCATTCCCTAGCTCTTATTGAATAGACCCCTTGCTTCTTTGACATGCCCAGTGTATAGCACTAATACATGCGGGGGTTACATGGATTTCTTACCAGTACACCTCTAGTTAATTGGGAAACACCGAAAGTGTTTCTGAAAAATCCCAAGGTTATAACCCGGGATCGAACCCGGGACCTCAGGAGTGATAATCAGTGGTCTAACCAACTGAGCTATCGCGCCACCACAAATGGCGATATATATGATAAAAGGCTCTGCATAAAGAAAATAATGTTACTGACAACTTTGACTTATACGAGTATTAATATTTTTTTTTTTTTTTTGTTTTTTTTTTTTTTTTTTATTTCCCCCGTCATGGGTATGTGGGGGTCGAGGGCATCCCCCTCCATACCTTACAAAGATTTTATTTATCATATTATATATACACATGTATCAAATATTTGTTGATTTAGTAACAATTATTGATTATTGTCATTGAGTATTAATCACAACTTCACATTTCCACAATAATATATACAAATGTACATACACAAAATAATATACAAACAAAATCACAAGGGAAATAAAAGAAGAGAAAAAAGGAAAGGTAGCTCATAGATTGAACAGAGAAAACATTATGTTGTTGTTTCTTATACTCAAACTTTTAACAAAAAGCAATGGCTGTATATTAATAAATTATAAATTTACATTACTCTAAAAAGAATTAAATGATTTTTTGAACAATTGTCCAATTCATTATGTTATCTTTTGTATTTGTTGCACATGCATCAATAATTGAAGAGGCTAATTTAAAACTTCTAATTAATCCATCTATATTTGGTAAAATATTTTTTCTCCTACATAAATAAACATATTTCTTTATCTCTAGACATAGGATATTGTACTTTGACTGGCTCTTTTTTGTATAACCTAATATAAAAGTTTGACAATCAATTAAATGATTAAGCTAGACTTACTTGTAAGGTGAAGGTTAATCATGATTTCATCCACATAAAACTCACTAAGGGCTCACAGAGAAGACGCAGCTATCAGCAGCCAGTGGTCATATTTTAGAGTAAGTAATGCCGAATAATATCGCAAAAATATCAGTTTAAACGGGGAGGTAGCGGATTGGGTGTGTGAGCCCTTAGTGAGTTATATGTGGATGAAATCATGATTAACCTTCACCTTACAAGTAAGTCTAGCTTAATCATTTAATTTCATCCTACATATAAACTCACTAATGGGCCCCACAGAGATTTTAGAGTCCTTTTTGCGATATTTTGGAAAGGACATTACGTGCCATCCAACGCCATAGTAAATATTTATCTTTCATGTTATTATGAAGAACAACGATTTAATTTCAAGACATAAAGGTCTTTTTGTATTCTGCAATTCGGTAAAAACACATGTTTTTCATATTTTTACAGAATATAAATGCCATGCACAACTATATAGAAAGTAATTAAATATAGCTATAATTATTATTATCACTACAGTTTTTTTTTTTGTCCCCTTATTATACACTCTAATTAGCAATATCTATGATAGCCTGCATAGATTTTCCATTGGTATTTGATACTGGTTTATCATAATATTTAGCGAATGTCTTAGCATTGCTCCATCCCGCTGATTCAATTATCGTCTGTCACGGGACTCCACGCATGTGTGCGATTGAAGACGCAGCAGCGCGCGTGCTATGTGGTTTGAATGATTTATGCACCCCAGCTCTGTGCATAATTAGCTTAATCCAGCGACAAATTGTTTGTTTTGAAACGGCCCCATGAGGCTTGACCGTTGATATCAGTAATTTTATTGGTATTTTCTGAGGGTCTTTCGTTCTCTGTAAATACTCACTAATGACGCTGACAATACACAAGCGTTTATCTGATTTAAAACTGTCAAACAAAAAGGGTGTCTGATGCCGACCAGGTTTCGATGTTTTTTTATAAATGTGGAGTGTTTATTATCAATCTTTCGTCTGAAATATTAATGTCTTCCAAACAAATGAGATGGAGTGTTAGACACCGCTGAGCTGACAACAATAAAAACAACATGCTTAATTTTCCAGCCAAAAATAATAATGTATCATTTTCTGTTTTGATAAAAAATCTAAAACTGTTCGCACATCCCATATCTCTTTATATCTTCGGAAGTGCCGGCCTTGTGTTAAATACACCTTTCATGAACCGTGATATCAGGTTATTATTGCTGAGATCTACGTTTGAAGTTATCTTAACAAACCCACAAATTGCTGATCTGGCAATACCAATCGCACTGTAGGTTATCCCTTTTGAATATAGGTGAGACAAAAAATGCTATCACTGTTGCTACAAGGGGTTTAAAGGGATCGTGTTTCCCTTCACAGAAATGAAACCATTGTTTAAGATATGTTTGATACTGTTTCCTGGTTGTTCTCCGCCACGAAATTAATGATAATCTGCTGAGCTTCATTTGAAATCCCTCTATCTTCAAGCGCTTTCCTGATAAGGGAAAAAGCGCCAGCCTCATCTTTGTTAATGGGTGTTTCTTTCCCGGTCGATGGCCACAACGTAAGGATGTCCTGAGGGTGCTGAAGTAGAATGCATGGTGCAACAATAAGTTGTATTAATGTCGGCCACCATGTCTGTTGCAGGCCATATTGGTGCTACTAAACACAGTAGTTCTGTTTGATCTATTTCTACTTTTGCAGGACCCTGCCTATTACACTGAAAGGTGGAAAACAATAATAACAATTATCATGCCATGAGAATGAAAAAGCGTCTATAGCAAAAGCATTTGGGTCAGGTTGTCTTGAAACATACGTCGGAAAACTTGTTATTTAAGCGAGATGCAAATAAATCTATATTTAAGGACGGGAAAGACCGACAAATTGCTGTGAACATCTCAGGTGATATACTCCATTCTAAATCTTCATTTCCAGTACGACTCAGTTTGTCTGCCGTGCGTTCAATGACCCCGATACATGATGTGCTGACAACAAAATGTTTCTTTGAATACACCAATTGCCAGATATCGCGCGCAATTTTAGTCAATGAATCTATTCTTCCCCCGTAATTATTTATGTATGATACACTCGTAGTGTTATCCATATAAATTTTTATATAGATATTTCTGTTGTGTTTTAAAAAGCGACAATAGCCCAACTTGACACGCTTTTAATTCTAACACATTGATATGTTGATTTTGTTCTTCCGCCGACCAAAAAACCATTTGTTCGTCTATTTTCTGTTTTATCATACGCGCCCCACATATGTCCCGAAGAATCAGTAAACATAATGTTATTCGGGTCAGGCGATGTAATACTTTTGAAACATGAATGTATATGAGTGATCCACCATCGCAAATTTTCCAAAATATCTGGCGTGAGTTGTAAAAAAAACTATTAAAATTACCCTTATGTTTTTCAGTTCCCTTTCCTTATGTCGTTCTAAAGTACCAGTTTATGCTACCCGAGCATGCCATTCCCCCGGTTACGATGCCCCCTCAACCCAGGGGTTTTCCCACTAATTCTTTTTGAAATTTTTTTGAATGTTATTCGCCGGGCATGTTTTATGTCTAAATGCAAACCTTCGATTGATATTTCATTCACCATTTGTGTCCTTTGTTTAATCTTATTGTTCGAGTGTTTTAAGGCCAGCATCAATCCCAAATACAATCTTTTCGACGTACCAGGACAGATTCTTACCCATTGAAATTTGTCAATCCTAACTTGTTAAATATATTCATGTTTGCTGTATTTTCGAGCACGGCGGAGTATGACTGAACCTTTGCAAAATGGCGTCGTCGATGTAACTGGACCTTATGACCCGGCGCTCTTAAATGAGAAAAAACTGGCTTCATCAGTTTAGTGAATATCATTAGGGCTTTTTTGCAAATCCCATCACAAGCGCTGTAAATTGATATTTTACACCTTCGAAAAAAGAACGAAAATACCGTCTGTCCCGTTCGTATATAGGTATAGTGTAAAAAGCATCAGAAATGTCGACCTTGCCGAAATAATAATTTTTCCTCATTGCTGTGGTCACTGACCCCAAAGTTTCCATTTTAAAATGTATTTTGCTGACGTAGTTGCTATTGAAATATTTAAATTCAAAATAATTCTAATCCGTCCGTCTGATTTTGGTCTTGTGAATATATTCGAAATGTATTCTCCGTCCAAGTTTTCGTCTGCAAGTTCTATTATTCCTTGATTTAAAAACCGTGTAATTTCAAACTGTATTGCTTGTTTTTCGTTTTCTTTAAAATTAAATGGTTTTGAATTTTATACTGAAAAGGAGTTGCTGACAGCTGTACCCGATAACCGTCTACAGTTTCTAGTATCCATTTATCTTTGGTTATTTTTCTCCACTCATTCAACGCCATTCTGGTCTTCCCCGCCGAAAATTCTGTGAAGTATTTATAATGGTAGAGGAATATTTCATATTATGATTACTTACTTCGGATATTAATTTTTCTGTGCTCTTGATTGGAAAGTATTCTTTTTCTGCTGTTTTGTTCTGTAATTGTGATTTTGACGTCGTCGCTGTAGATTGAAATTCATGTTTGCCCTGTGAATTGAGCGCATGTTTCCGTTTGTGCTGAGGTACCAGGGTCGCCATGCCCTGGCGTTTCCCTAAAAAGAACGCCTGGAAGTACATGTAAGTTGCTGCTTATTGTCCCTTAACTTTTTAAGTTCTTCATCTACTTTATCGCCAAACAGATGAGTGGCAGATTGGTTTTGCTGAACAAATTGGCCTATAAAGCGGGAGAAGTTCTTTCTTTATCCTGTCACGTCTCATCTGAGAAGTAGTGACAAAAGCATTGGTTAACAGTTTGAAAGTATCCCCAATCAACTCTTTCATTTTTTTGGTCGTCCATCTGTCTTTAACTCATCCATGGTCTTCAATACCGGTACCAAAGCAGACGAAAAAAATTTCTGTGTCCTCTGCAACAGAAAAATCCTGTGCTTTAACTTGAGATGGCAACTGTCGCCACAACTGCTCATTCACCAAAGGTACTTGTAGAAATTCTACATTGTTAGGCCTCTTGTGTGTGTCCAAAAGTTCCTTTATTTTTTCTTCTTTGGGTTGTACCTGCAAAGCTTTATTGCTCAAAGTGGCTAGTTTGTCACTTATCGCCGCTCCTGTTTCTGAGGCATCCTCGAAGAAATCCACCATGCAGAATTCATCATCATCATCATCATCATCATCATTTCCGTCGGTGACCCCAGATTCGGTGAAAAAAATCTCCCACGCTTTCGTGATCTGAGCCTGAATCATCCCTCGTGCAAAAACGTTTCGAAGTTGATGTTTCTTCGCAGGTAACTGCAGTTCTTTTCAAAGAATTTACGTCAGACCTCATTTAAGTCAGAGTCTCCGTTAAACCTTTTATTGCATTTTGGATGTCTTCTAACTGACTAGAAGATCCTGCAGGTGTCCCGAATTTTTCAAATATATTGGGAATATTGGACTGGTTGTTTCCGACCTCTTGATCGTCGGCCATGATCCTGAAAAATGTTTTTTAAACATTTCTAGCAGCAGTCCATTTAAGCAATAAAATGAAGAAGAAACATATATAAACGATTAGAATTTAATCGCAGTCAGGCGTAAATAACGCCGTCAAATAGATATCTACATAAATCATTAATTCGTCCCTCTGTGATATGCAAGACGCCTGATTTTTTTTTTATTATTATTATTATTATTATTATTTATTATTATTATGTATGTATGTCATGTTGCATGAACACGCCCTATTGCAAACAAAATATAATAATTTGTCTGTAATGTTCAGACCATTTTAGCTTTTCCATGGTGTTTGGATAAGCATAATTACGAACAAATGTATCTTTTGTCTGTGGTGTTCAGACAGTTTTAGCTTTTCCATGGTGTTTGGATAAGCATAATTACGAACAAATGTATCTTTTGTCTGTGGTGTTCAGACAGTTTTAGCTTTTCCATGGTGTTTTGGATAAGCATGATTTCATTACGAACAAATGAGTCTTTTGTCTGTGGTGTTCAGACAGTTTTTAGCTTTTCCATGGTGTTTGGATAAGCATGATTTCATTACGAACAAATGAGTCTTTTGTCTGTGGTGTTCAGACAATTTTTGCTTTTCCATGGTGTTTGGATAAGCATGATTACGAAACACTGTATCTTGTTTTGCCTGTGGTGTTCAGACATTTTTTTTTTTTTTTTTCGTATTTGGCAGCAGTGTTCAGATAAAATTGGCTAATAAATATTGTTGTTATAAAATGTATAACTACAAAATGTATATTTTGTCTGTGGTGTTCAGACATCAAACATATACGAGGTTTGTTTGTTTTTTTTTTTTTGACAAAAAATTAAACGATTTTAAGTATAAACTTAAAATAAATATATACAAATAAATTAAACATACCTCTTATCACACTTTTCTTAACTGCTTAATTAATATCCACAAATGAAACACTTGTTAGTCCTAAATAATTACACTATAATAATTTAAACTTGTGAAAAATACGACAGGCTTTACTTTAATTAAGAACAATTATACGTCTTGACCGTAGCTGCTAATGCCTCGTTATGACCACTGGCTGCTGATAGCTGCGTCTTCTCTGTGGGGCCCATTAGTGAGTTTATATGTAGGATGAAATATCAAATAAAGCATCATGATTCCTAACAATTTTAATAATTTCTGTAATCAATATTTTGACAAATGAGCATTCCCAAAATAGGTGTAACAATGTTTCATGTTCTGATTTACAAAAAGTACACATACTTGTAACAGATAAATTCATTTTCAAAAGAAGATAATTAGTAGCTAATATTCTATGTGTTAGTCTTGTCTGAAACCATTGCAAGTAAGAATCATTGGTAATGTCAAAAACCCAACTATTTTTATTCCAGTCAGATTGACTTAATTGAAAGCAAGTGTTCCATTTAGTCTGACAAGTTGGAATATCATCATTTTTTATGTATATATTGTACATGTCTGATGTACCTTTAACACAAAGTAGTATAGGCTTTAAATAACAACATATAATGGGAGAATAGGAAGCAATTTCATAATTTTCACATAACTTTAAACTTAATACACTTCTGTATTTCTTGACAGCACTTGTAATTAATTCATAGTAAATGAAGTTTACTTTAATGCCTAATCTTGCTTCCAATTCATTCCTTTCAAGGAAAATACCATTCACATTCATAATATCTTTGATAAACCTTTATCATACCATGTTTTTTTTATAAAAAAAGGTTTTCTATCCATCAAAATATATTGGTTATAGAACAGAGGCATTTCTAACAACATTTCCATAGAAAAAATCGGTGTTTTTTCTACAAATTCTACATAAGCACCTAAAACATCTTTCCAAAATGAATTTTTCAAAATATTAAATATATATGCTGTATATAACTTTCCACAATTAAATAGCTTCTTAATATCTAAAAAGTTTTTCTAAAATAGTGTAAACATTTATCACATTCAGATGATACAATTCTTCTTAACCATGAAAGTTTTTAAACTTTTCATGTAAGCACATACATCAATCATTTTTTAGACCACCATTTACATATTCTTTCACCAATACAGAAGATTTAATCTTTGGTGTACCTTGCCACACAAAAATCATAAAACATATTACTTATTTCCTTTAACATCTGAGATTTGGATTTGGAAGTGATATAAACAAGTTAGTTAATAAAGGAAGTAACAGTGACTTTACAACAGTTATTCTACCAATAGGTGTTAAAGCCCTTCTTTTCCAACACTGGGATATATTTTTTGATATTTTCAATTTTTTCAGTATAATTCAAAGTTATCATTTTTTCTAAATCAACGTGAAAGTTGATACCAAGTAATCTAAATGATGTACTACCCCAAATTAATTTCCACCTAGTTTTTATTGATCTAGTGCTATATTTTAAAGAGCCAATCCATAATAACATGTGTTTTTTCAAAGTTAACTCTTAATCCAGAAATAATAGAAAATTCATGTAAAATATCAAGCGTACAATTTAAAGACTGATCAGATCCATCTAACAATAAAGAGGTATCATCAGCATACTGTGAAATCTTATACTCTGTTCCGTTGATATGTATACCTTTTATATTTTTATTAGTTCTTATTTTGATGGCTAATATTTCGGCACATAAGATAAAAATATAAGGACTGATTGGGTCTCCTTGACGGCAACCACGCCCTATTTTAAAAAAGTTAGACACAAATCCATTCATTTTAACTGAAGTTTCAGTATTTGTATAAAAAAGAGATATTCATTTTCTTAACATTGGGCCAAGATAAACAAATTCAAAAGTCTTATTTATAAAATAAAAGAAAGTGTATCAAATGCTTTTTCAAAGTCAATCATTACTAATAGTCCTGGCATTCTTTTTTCTTCTAAATAATTCATTATATCGTAGACTAATCGTATATTCTCTCCGATAAATCTTCCTTTTAGAAATCCTGTTTGGTCTGTATCTATCAAACAATTTAAAACTGACTTAAGTCTTTTGGCTAATGTGCCTGAGGCTAGTTTTAAAGTATAATTCAATAAAGTTATTGGTCGCCAGTTTTTTAAATATTGTTTTGGTTTGTTTTCTTTCGGGATACAGGTAATTATACCTTGCCTTTGGGTAAGTGATAATTCACCTTTAATAAAAGAATAATTAATACTTCTGACAACAAACGAGTATTAATATCTTATATATGATTATAATAAATATAAAGATACTAGCAGATTTAATATATAAATATAAAAAACATATATTTTTGATTCATAAATTCATGTGAAAATTATCGAAATGTATCGAATTGTATCGTGAATGTTCAATGTATATTTATAATCTTTTAATGTTTTTCACTGTTAGACAAATTCCATTCATTTATTAACTAAATTTCCATATTTTTGTTATGTAAAACATTTTGTTAATTCAGTTTAATGTTTCGATTTTTCGATTCTTGATTGTATTTGTACTGTAATTATTACAATTTGGGCGGAATAAAGGTACAATATTGATTAAAATTTGTTTAATCAAGACGTTTACTTTAGAAACTATTTGAAAAAAAAAAACCCAAAAAAACCTAAACACTATTGATGAGTATAAAATGACACTGGAAATACATTATATTGTATTACATAAAATTAAACAGCAATAATTTAAATGATTTTATTTTAAGTTAATTGTTCCATGCCACATACCTTTTCTTTGAGCGAATCTTTTAATTCAGTTTCTGTAACAGTGCAGTTTGGTTTTGGTCTACAATAAAGAATATATACGATCAGATCTGGAAATTTAAAGCTGAGTGTATATATTTAATTGAACTGTAACGCTTTGATACAGTTTACGCAGGAAAAATGTTGGGGAAGCTTTTTGTACGGACTGGCCGCCCTTGTTTGTGCAAGTCCGTAGATATTTCGTGTGGAAATTAGATTATTATGCCTTAAATCGAGCCATTAACATATGTACTGATAATGGATTGTGTTATTGTGTCTGGTTATTTTGGTACAATAAAGCTGTTTCAAAAAGAAGGTAATTCCAATTATAAGGACAATTACAAAAGCATTTCCATTTAACCACAGGCACGACATTGAGAGATAACATTTGAATAAACTTTAGGCTTTGCCACAAATGGAAGCCCGTAAGTCCACCATTGCTCAGACAAGTATAAGCTACATATAGATATAATTTTTTAAACGTGCTTTGTTTATGATTTATTATTGCACGTATAAATATCTTATTTAATTGGTAAAGGGATGCACTACATAAATTTATTGTTCATTTGATAAAATATAGCAATACGGTAAGACACATTTCGAGTAATTGTAAGTAGTAATAAGTGCAAATATTCAATACATACTCTACACAAAGGCAAATATCGTCTCCCTTTTCATCGCTTTGTATTCCTATTACCTACAAATACAATTCACTCTTGACATATAGCTGTGTTTAAAGGGGAAAAAATAACTCATTTTTCTTTAATAAATGAACAGTATTGCGTATTTTTATTATTTCGTATTATAGAGCGTTTAAACGCAGGTGAGTCTTAGGATCCGTTGCACTGTTCATACTCACACTCATAATTATTTTATCAGGACCTCTGTTATTGCTTCTCGAGCATTTATCATTTTATCAGGGATATATCTTTCACACTGTTAACGTTTCTGTCAGTGACCCAACTTTTACTTTGTTATTGTTTTCATAGTTTATAATACAGCCTTTTACCAGTAAAATATCTACCACACTGTTTTTGTTTCTTTAACAGCTATATATCAATGATTCATCTTTCACGCTTTTATTTTGCCTCATTTATTTATTATTTTATCAGTGGCCCATCTTTGACTCTGTTATCGTTTCTCATAGTTTCTCATACAGCTTTTTGACCCATCTTTCACTCCGTTATGATTTATCAGTGACCTGTAACCTTTTTATTTTTATCAGTCGCATATCATTACGTCAATGTCTCCGTGATCGAGGGGTTGGAGTCGATGACTTCTAATCCAGCTACCTCTCTGGCGTGGGTTCGATCACCGGGAGATGCTTTGGTAGTTTAGCACGGAGGAAGGTAGTCTAGTACTAGTTTAACTCTCCAGGATCGATGGTTAGGAAACTACCCGCCTATATGACTGAAATAATGTTGGTAAAAGGGGTAAAATGAAACAAACAAAAAGTCAATGCCATCACTTTGGTATAACTGAATTAATCAACAAGCGAAACCTCAGGTACACACCTTAACATGCTAATCAACAATCCTGTAAATTTTAATGACTCTTGCTCAAGCGCTTTAGAGTTACATGTGGCGGACGGACGCACGGACGGACGGACGGACGGATGCATGAGAGACTTGGGCAAATCTTAATGCCCCCTATAGTCGGGACACAAAATAGCTTACTTTTGCATTTTGTACTTTTTTGTTCGTCTCTATGACACTCAGTATCTGTACCGGATACACGACATCTGAGAAATGTTTGTAGCGCACACAATCTGCCTTTCTACCAATATAGGTCACGTGACCAGTCTCATCCATTGTACAAATATCTCTGAATAAATAGAGCACATACGTTAAATACATCTGTCATAATTTCGTAAACATTCGGCAAATTTCATGACATTCAATACATAACTCTATGTACATAGAATACTCATAACAAATGAATTTTTATATGAGACAGGTTGCAAAAATAACATATAATGCATTTGCTTTGCAACACAAATATCAACGGAATACACCTCCGATAGAGTTTGCTAAGGTATCCATTACAAATCGTAAGAGATACAGAATTCATGGTAAATAAGGTAAAACATTCTGACAAACATAAAATGAGTTTAAAATGCAATTTTATTTTATGGGTTGTTTGTAAATATGAACATGGTGTTATGGCAAGGAATATGTTACATTGAAATGTAGGAAATTATTGAGAAATATTAGATCTAATTAATCACTTTTTTACTTTTGTTTCAATATATATTGCGTATTTATTTGTGTAGAAGCCTTTCTTCTGCCAGTCTTGCAAAGTAATTGACTCATGTTTATTGCTTAAGAAATATCTGTTCAAAATGTGTACCTCTCTTGGATCACTTCAGATATGTCCATAAGTTGAAAGAATCTAGTTTGAAGTACTGCATTCAGATGTTGATTCTAAAGTTGTTCCCTTCAACAATCTCACATCTACCTTTATTTTACTAAAATAGTACTATGTGGCAGCAGATCAGAACAAAATAGTCATGAAGATTTATAAACCTTACATGAATAAAGTGATGGTCCAACAGTTAAAAAAATAATAGAAGTACCCGTAATGATACCACCCGTTTTTGGTGATGTCTTTAGCACGGGCTGTTAACTCCTCATCATGAAGATATTGTTTAAATACCGTCCATCCTCTTACACAAAGCTCACCTTGCTCCCCTATAGGTACCACTACATTATTACTATCTACAAGCTTAATCTGCAATAAAAAACAAAACATATAATTCAAAAATATATCTTACCAAAACGAACGGCAAAAGAACATTGTACAAATCATTTAAATTATCCACCTGGCAAGTGAGTAGTAAAAAGAAAAGACGTGGTAAATTACATATGATATTGTTTTATAGTTCACACGAGAAAAGCTCACAAACACTCTTCAGAATTTTCAAAACCTCACGAATTTCGACATAGTAACGTTTACAATGATGTTGTAATTCAGATTCAAATGCATACATGTAAAGTCACATTATGCGTTAGAAATCCATATTTGATCCGCGTCACGACAAAACCAACATAATGGGTTTGCGACCAGCATGGATCCAGACCAGCCTGCGCATCCGCGCAGTCTGATCAGGGTCCATGCTGTTCGCTATCAATTTCTCTACTTGTTATAGGGTTGGTAAGCGAACAGCATGGATCCTGATCAGACTGGGCGGACGCGCAGGCTGGTCTGGATCCATGCTGGTCGCAAACACACTATGTTGGTTTTGTCATGGCGCGGCTCATTTATTAAATTCTTTAGAAATGTCAAATATGTGTTGAATAATATTTTAATAACGGGTTTAGAGCATTTTAGTTATGTAACAGCGTAAGAAAGTAGCACTGAAAGTACAATAATGTGTAGCGAAAGTAGCAACATGTAAACAAAGTAGTATTATGACTTCTATACAAAATACTAATTCACTACCATTCACTATAATTATATCATTTGCCGACAAGCAAAAGAAGCTAAGATTGTTATCGTTATATAAGGCAAATGAGTATTTTCGGAAACTGTGACATGATACCAAACAATTAAGGTTTTTGTGAAATAAAAATGATGGCATTTTTGAGGCATAATGGGCCTTTAAATGGTAAACATATTTATATATTTTACGTTTACCTCAGTATGGGGATATCCGTAACCAACGGTGTTTATACGTTGTTCTAAACTAGAGTGCACGGGTGATGTACTTAATCCTGAAAACGCCTCTGTTGACCCAAATAAAGTCTGGAAATGATACAGAAAAGTATGTACCCAAAACCCTTTTTACCATCATCTATCTATAATGAATTTTGAAAGTATTAGGAATTGGGATAAATGACATCTAAATCATCCGAATGACATTGGTGGTTTGAAGTTTAATATTTTAATATATGATATTGCCTGATTCTAGTAAAACTAGATTGGCAGGAACACTAGTCTTACCAGTAAAAATAGATAATGTCTAAACTGGAAAAAAAAAATCACTGCCCCCTCCCCTATAAATAAATAAATGAAAAATAAATAACACAATAACAACAAAAGGTTTTACCACTGAGTCTTTGAAAAACTGTAAAAGCTTCTTTTTAGTGTCAGACCTTGTAACTTGTCCTAAAAGATTTCCTGCAATATGTACTGATAGATAAAGTTCTGACACTTAATGCAAATATGTTTTTAATTTTTAACTATTCCCTTAATTAATTACTTATATTTTCCAGTCGCCAGTGTTACAAAGAAAAGGCCCAAAATCTCAGGCTGATTAAAGTTATGATACAAACTCAGCAGAGTAAAGATTTGAAATCTCACACGAACACTGCAAACATTATTGTGTATATTACTAGAACACGTTACTGATTTATTGAACTTATTTTTACATCTGGTAGAATTTACTACGGAAGCTAACAAAAGCAAGAGATTCTCAACAGAGGCTTTTTGTACCTTCATTATCGTACTGTGCCTAGTTATAGACTTTATTACAGACTCGAATTCTAGTATGACATAGATTTAGGATTTTTTACCTCCTCTTAATGAAGAAAGGTCGTAGTTGCTTCTTTTTGGAGAATTCATTGCATGGATGAGCTCAAATGGCAGCCCATTATACCAAGTTATTCTGAAAGTATGTTGAATAATGTGATGTATAAAATGTTAAATAATTCACGGTAAAGACCCTCAATGTTACAACCTTTTTATTGTATTAATACTTTTATAGATATAGTTAAATATTTCATGTATGTCGATTAGAATAATTTCTTTTCTCATCAGTTTGATGTCAGACAAATTTATGTATATATTTTTAAGACTGTCAGTTATTCATATCAGATATCAAACAGAACTCAATAAACCTTTGAGGCTTGATTTCTAAGGAAGAAATATTTTGTACAATTACAACAAGGAAAATTTTATGTGAACATTGTTCTACTTATATTTTTATCAAATTGATATATTTTGTAGTATATTGGTACAGAACATATTACAATACGTTAACCTATCTTTTAGGTGTGTCTTACTTTTCTTTGTCAATAAATGCCATAAACACTTCCACTGCGTCAACGGTAGGTGTCATCGATGTTGGTCCCATTACACATACAGCTCTATGATAAACGGTGCAAGTCACCTGTAGAGTACATCCGGCGTCATCTATTGTTGGGTTCAGGACACCAATCACACTCTTAAATATAATGAAGATATATTGTTATTCTATGATAAACAATTCGTATGTCACCAAGTTTTTTTTCGATTTTTCTAGTACATTTTATTGTTTTTAATACTACCTAAGTCGGTGATAAGGACGTGAGATAACCCTCATAAATATTCTGTCCCATGAAGTTGTTGGACCTCGTCTTTTTAATTGTATTCATGTTTAAAGTGTAAAATACGCTTTAAGATGTGGAAACGTTTTATCTCATTAGTTAATGGGGTATTAACTCACTATTTTTTAATGTTTAACTATTTGCAACAGAGGAATGTATATTATAAACTAACATATACTTTATAAGTATGAAAATAGTTCTTTATAATTATCATATTAATATCATATTATAATGCATTAATATCATATTATAATGCATCTGTATATAGTAAATGAACCATTTAATTGTCGCTCAAATTGTAATATTATTAAATGGGTTTTCTACACCAACATACGATTACTCTTGTATGATATTAAAGTCATCATTTGATATATGGTTTTTAAATTGTAATGAAACAATTAGTTAAAACAGTTTTAAAATGGTTTAACATCTTGTTAAAAACAAACATATGTTTTATATCTGCAAAGAATGATAAATATGTCCGGAATGTGCATTATGGGATAAATTGCATTGTTTCCCTTACATTCTGTATCATTGATAAGGGACGTTTGATATTTTTATACGTATATAATTATATGTAACGTGCAACAGTATTCTTTTTATGTTTATCTTATTTTTAATGGTGTTCCATTAAAGGCCAATATGCCTCAGAAATGCTATCAATTTCATTTCTCAAAAACTGTTTATTTTTGGTATTTTGTTACAGTTTCCAAAAGCATACTCAATTACAAAAATGAACTATCTTCTTGATCTTTTGTTCTGTTGGCAATTGGTATAGCCATAGTGAATTGTATGGAAGTCAAAATACTACTTTGCTTACATTTTGCTACCTTTACGACACATAACTGCATATGCCGCGCCACTTTTTCGGTCCAATTTTAAAACATGCGCTTAATCTATTATCTTAACATTATTAAACACATGTTTGACATTTCTAAAGAATTTAAAAGATATGGAATTTCTGAGTGCCTTTAAGATCAATGATAAAAAACAACCAGATATCGTTATAGTTGATTAAGAAAGTATATATCCCAAACAGTGATTTTATCGCTCAATAACATCACTGTTTGGAGTTCGGATGCGACGAAATATATCACGAGGGCGTAGCCCGAGCGATATATAATGATGCGCATCCGAACGACAAACAGTGATATTATCAAGCGATAAAATCACCGATTTGGATATATTATTTCGATTATAACACGACATCAACAAATAAAAACACTTACAGGAGCGGTGCTAGTATAAGCACGGCGTGAAAATTTGGCAGCATTGACCAATGTATGATGGGAAACACATGCTGTTTTGCTTTTTCCAGAAGTTGTCCCCTAGACATACAGGGAAGAAAATGAAAGAAAAAGGTTAATATTCAATTCGATTAAATTTCATATTAGTTTTATAGAAATCACCGAGCAATATAAATGTACTCTTCTGTTTACCTTTCATATTATCAATGACTTTGTTAATGAAATGAGGTAGTTTTACAAGAAGACGTATTTTCGAATACCCTGTTTGTTAATTTGATCTATATGTGATACAGAAAACCTTTTTTCGGAAACGAATGATATGCGTATTTTCCCGCTTTTTTGTTTAAATAAACAACGTTATTCGGAACATTATATAGATTTATAGTGAGATACTAATCGTTCGTGAAAACGGGTGATTATTTGAATATTAATTCATTTGAAATAACCAGAACATTTATTTGAAATAACCAGAACATTTATTTGGAAAAAACACCTTACAAGCTCGAATTGGTCAGTAACGTGTGAAATAGTTTTCTGAAATACGTGTACACATGACTAAACATTACTTACGCTTGAGTCAAAAAGTACTGCTATATCATCTATAGAAACCTGTTTACTTCTTGCCAGAAATTCATCTTTATTGATGGTATCCCCATGTTGAAGAAAACTTTTGTAATCTGTGAAGTTACTAAATAATGAAATGGAAATTTGTTGCATTTTACTGTGTCTTACTCGATTTTTTAAACATCGCAAAATAGGATCATTTCGCTACACTTTCGAACTTTTCTGAATATCTCTAATCGTTAAATATGTTTTTGTGTGCGTACAGAAGTTATCATAGAAATAAATAAATTAAAAGAAAAAAAAAAACAACAACAACAAAAATAATTTACTGGAACACTAAAGTTTTCGCATCTTATCTCGTATTTGAGGTAAAAATAAAAAAATGTGAAATAAAATAGGCATTTTCATTGTTATTACAGTAACTTAAAGACAAAATTATTAGTGTACAATTATAGCAGATCAATGTCCATTACCTGTTTTGTATCGATGTATTTACTAATATTACAGGAACTGGTACTCTTCTACTTCAAAGAAATACAAATAAAATGTACATGAATGTATGAAATATTTCATATTTCGTTAAACACTCAAATCTTTTAGATATTTAAAAAAAATCATTTCATTGTTTGTCAGAAGATTTGAAATTAAAAGAGATAAACAATTCGAATTATCGGTGCATCTAAACAATGACGAAAGTAATTATACTGTTATTTTTACAATGTAAATATATGTGTAGGTCATATAAGTCTAATGTGATAATTTAATGACCATTTGTACGGATTGAAAGGTTTGTTCATATTCTATTATGAGTATCTTACAAGTATATATCAACGCAAGATTGAAGCATTTGAAATAAATGGACAACGTAACTTCTTCACCAGACCGTAAAATTGTGAATATGAAACACTAAGCATTCTACCAGTTTGACAGAGATTCCTTGGAATGTGTTTGGCATAACTACTCATATACATGTATTTTTTTTATTAAATAAAGATATGGGGATTGATATTACAAACTCTAAATTATACATGAAGAAATAAATCAACCTACTATACCCCTGAACTTTATGATTTTGTTGATACTCATCTATTACTGGAATAGTTGCGGATGGATGATCTCTTCCAACAAATATCAATGCAGGATTATGCTACATAATGATACAGAATACAAATGTCATAATGTATGATAAGTATTATCAGACTAAGTTGAATATGATGACAAAACAGTTAAATTTACTTTTAACATAATATAATCTAAACCTATTCTTTTTACAGAACACTTAAATCAACATTCATTAACATTCATACTATGAACGCGGCATCAAATTATCAGACAATGCCTATTATTTTTCCTTAGTTGGGTTTTAGGTCACGCCGTCATTATAAAGGTTATATGCGTTGTACTGGTTTGTGCACCACGGAACAATGTTTCGGGTACGAGCTGAGAAGAACCACTTAAGTAAGAACCCCTGTTCGAATTTGAGACCAACAAAAGGCAAGGAGCAGGTGATTGGAAGTCAGCGGTTATAACCAATTGAAGACGGAGGACTCCACAGAATGACAAATAAATTGTAAAATTAAAATTGATACATTACCTTGCAATATGTAGCCGTATCCATTTCTATTGGCTCACTTAATTGTGGCTAAAAGACAAAATTCAATTAACCAATATAGTTATGTCATAGTGCTTTATCATATATTACAGGTTTCCCATGGTAAACCTTTGTTTAGTACAATACCACTGTGCTCAATTTTAGCAATGCTCTTTCAAATCAGCTTAATTCAGTTTTAACATTTTCGCGGAAGTTCTAAAGATATAAGGCAGTAGATTGCGTAAACAAAAATGATAAGTATATTGTAAAGATGTAAAAATATAAAAATATAGCAAGCTAGATAATGCTATACTTTGTAAAGTGTCACGGAAATGTACTACATCGCTTAAAACAGACTTCGAGATACCGACAAAACTGGCAAGGCAAATACAAAGAGAACTGTGAAACAAATAAATTGTATAGTTATGATAGTGTATTAAGTGTCCAGCATGTTACTAGGACAAAAATACCCTTCAATACATATATCATTAATATGATTTAAAACTGATATTCTATTACAATTTGGTGCTCAACATTATACTTACAAAGTGAAAACTGAGGCCAATTTGTGTAATACCATAATACAACACAAAGTATTCAATATCCGTTACACCAACCAAAAATACTATATCTCCTCGCTGTAGTCCTGATGCGACTAATGCTTTTGACACCTCATCTGCCTAAATATACGTACATGTCAGACACATATGAGCCGCGTCACGACAAACCAACATAATGGGTTTGCGACCAGCATATTTTACTGTTCGCTATCAGTTTCTTTACTTGTTATAGGGTCTGTAAGCGAACAGCATGGATCCTGATCAGACTGCGTGGATGCGCAGGCTGGTCTGGATCCATGCTGGTCGCAAACCCATTATGTTGGTTTTGTCGTGACGCAGCTCATATATGTCAGAATATTTTAAGTTGATCATAGATTAATCATGTAAATTTATACGTAAGGTGTTTTCAATTTTCAATTCCCTTGACTCGGTGGAGAAATAGCAGAATCATCTTGATAAAATTACATACATATATACTATTTTTTGTAAAATAAAGTGTACAGTAATTGTTAATTGGAAATTCTTTACATTTTGTTGAGCAAAATATCAGCAAATATTGACTACATTTTTATTGAAATCTGATAATTAAGAGCCGTGTCACGACAAAACCAACATAGTGCGTTTGCGACCAGCATGGATCCAGACCAGTCTGCGCAGATCTGCGCAGTCTGATCAGGATCCATGCTGTTCGCTATCAGTTTTTCTACTTGTAATAGGGTTGGTAAGCGAACAGCATGGATTCTGATCAGACTGCGCGGATGCGCAGGCTGGTCTGGATCCTTGCTGGTCGCAAACCCATTATGTTGGTTTTGTCATGACACGGCTCATTTTGAATTTTGTTTACGTGTAGATAGCGAAAGAATGTTGAGTAAAAGATGCAGAACTGAGATTCTTATTAACGTTTTTCTTTTATTCAGTACCTTTTGCAGCTATTTCCTCAACGGGTAAACGCAAATGTTTTAGACACGTAACGTCATATGGAGTAAGCTCCAATGGCGTTGATGTATTTAAATATTCAGGTATCATGTAAAAGTAAATACGTTAAGACAAACATCACAAGTTACTAATTTTGTTTCATCCGTCTGCTATTTACATGCAAAATAAATTCTAAAGTATGTAAATTTCATTCAAATGTATATGATCGTGTAGTGAATACATTTCTATATTTTCTGTTACAAAATTGCCAATATATTGCTTTATTTCTACAACAGTTCTCTGTAACAAAACAATACTTTCCTTTTGCATCTCGGTCCATGTATCAATTGAAGCTATTTCAACCAAAATTGAGAATTTTCTAGTTTTCTAACCCTACAAAACCGACAGTTATCACAAGAACTAAGAATACAGCTTAAACATTAAATGAATGTCTTAAATGGTGCTATTGACATAGGTCTGCCACTGATACCTCTTTTTTTTCTCTTTTTTTTTGGGAAATCTTACTTAGAATATAAATATTTTTAATATAATATCTACCCTAAGTTTTAAATCTGAAATAGTAATTTGCTCCTGATATTCATGCGTGCGAAACACCACGTGATCTGGGTTTTGTTTTGCTGCGTCCTCAAGTACGTCACCAATAGTGTTACCAGACAAAGGTTCCGTGCACGTTCCATGGTAATAACTGTTTTTCAGTGGGACCGATGAAGGTAGGCAATCCCTGCAAATATCAAAGTCAAAAGAAAACATTTAATTTCTCTTAGTTTTTTCCAATGCCATTAACCAACCTGTCATATATTTTCAATACAAACTTTCGAATTTATAGAGGTAAACCTGAGCTATTAATATTAGTTTTACCAAAAATGGTTTTCCTGTACAATAGGGTAATGTAATAGTGTAATGTATAGATGTGTCGGACACAATTTACAAACAATTATGCCATTAACAAACACTTAGATTTACAATTAAGTATAACATCGATAAATGAATGAGTCTTATCGTTACCGAAATATTTTTTATAGTTATAGTTACGATAAAAATCATTTAATTTTTCTAACATAGTTTGTACAGATGTTGTGTAAGTTTTTTAATGACATGAAAACCAACAGCAGGCGTCAGCTGTGTATAAAGTAAAATTGAGCCGCGTCACGACAAAACCAACATAGTGGCTTTGCGACCAGCATGGATCCAGACCAGCCTGCGCATCCGAGCAGTCTGATCAGGATCCATGATGTTCGCTATCAGTTTCTCTACTTGTTATAGGGTTTGTAAGCGAACAGCATGGATCCTGATCAGACTGCGCGGATGCGCAGGCTGGTCTGGATCCATGCTGGTCACAAACCCATTATGTTGGTTTTGTCGTGACGCGGCCCAAATGATAAAGCAATATAAAGAAAATATAACCACATATTTAATTTCCTTAAAGTGTTCACTTATAAATCTTTTACATATCATTCAGTGATAGGCATACATGAAAATATGGAAACAAAGTGATCCCTAGGAAGCATTAACCACAACACAATTACATGAAAATTGCAGACTCGGTGTGATTAAGTCTGTGCATGAGGGACAATGAATAAGTGCAGCATCCCTCACGCCCCTAGCACCGGCTTGAGCGGTACTCAATTCTCAACACTTAATGGTGCTGGCATCAATGGTCACACAGGACCAGGACAATATAACAACATTGAAGTGAAGTACGGGGCAACTGTCACACAGAACTTGACACCTGCTGTTTCTGGAAACAAAGTGATCCCTTTGAAGCTTTAATCACAACAAAATTAGATGAAAATTGCAGATTCGGTTTGATTGAGCCTGTACAAGAGGGTGATGAGTAAGTTCAACATCCCTGACGCCCCTAGCATCGGCTTAAGCCGTACTCAGTTCTAAAGACTTAATAGTGCTGGCATCAATGATCCCGAAGGACCATAAAAGTCATACATCTTCTATTTAACACTTTGTTTCTGAACATTCATAAAGCAGTTTATAATTTCTGATAAAACAAAGATACATTTCTGTCACCAAAGTATTGCAGTAACTTCAGAAAATTGTTGCAAAGGATATCTCAATATCTTAAGTTTAAGAATTGATTTGTACGGAAGCTTATTAGGGCCTCCACTTATCTAAAAGTTTCACGTCATGTCAACTTGTTTGCAAAAACATACGGAAGCTTATCAGGGCCTTCACGTATCTAAACGTTCTTGCTTTTTCTCGTTTTGACCATTTAACCAAAAACGTTCCATGAAGACGTTATGATTAATACGTTATACGTTAAACATTCCATGAAGATGTTATGATTAATACGTAATACGTACAATTTTTAATCATTGCCAAAAAAACTTTTGTTGAATTACGTGAGCTATTTGTCAATGTGAGTAGCGTCTTTGCGTCTTACTAAATATTTCAGCAAAGTCGTGATATCAAGAAGTTTCGACAGAATTTTTGCCGAAGAGACAAAAGCTTCAAGCATATCGAGAAAATTTGTAATGCCTAAAAGCTTCTCATCTTTGTCTGTAAATTTTATTGAGACATGCAAAAACATCTTATCAATGCGAATAAAAATAAGTCGACTTAGCGCAAAACATCTCATCAACTATTGGTCCTGATAAGCTTCCGTATTTATATGTTTATCAAAAAGACAAATGTATCATGATTATAGTATCTAATAACATACTGATAATATTTTATCGAACAAAAGATAAACAGTAATAAACAGATTCAATGTCACGTTAAAGTGTGCCGAAAGAATTCAAACATAAAATATTCTATAAAAGCAAAAGTTCATTACATCCATCGACTAAGTTTTTTTGGATTGCAAAATGAGTTAGATCTCGCAAAACATATTCACTTTAATTCTATTATGCATAAAATATAAAGTTTATCAAGTAAATCGACGACTTAAAAAAGGAAATTTAGTTAAACATACAAATTGATGAATCAAGTTCTCGTAGCCTTTTTATTAACTTCTTTTTCTTTAACCCTGTATAATTTATCATTATAAGCGACAAAAGAGTGAGCAATAAAACAAATCGTTGACTCGGTAGTATCACTAATTTCAATCGTTATGATTTTAAATGGTAGCATTTCCTAGTAAGACATAACCTGTTATATAAAGTGTTCAATTAACTACATAATTTACTGTATATAAACATACATAAACACTTAGAATTACTTAATAAATTCTCAGAAATTCGAAAGATAACACAATAAATGTTTATCGTGTTAATTCCAATATTACGAGTATCACACGTTAATTCCAATATTACGAGTATCACACGTTAATTCCAATATTACGAGTATCACACGTTAATTCCAATATTACGAGTATCACACGTTAAATCCAATATTACGAGTATCACACGTTAAGTCCAATATTACGGGTATCACATACATTTTTTAACTTAAGGACTGATTTAAAGTTGCACCTAAATACATGTACCATGTAATAAAGATAAAATTTTGAATTTAGTATCAAAATTTAAACTTGATTTCTTTCTCAACATTGGTTTAGACCAAAAAAAAATCTTTTCAATTAGTATATATCAGACTTATCTTTACCTGCTTCTACATATCTTCTTGGCATATCAAAATGTTTATTGTTCACTATTCCAGACATGTTATCAACATACATTTACGTACATGTCAGATTTACTAAGATTGATGGAAAACTTATTGCATACACACAAGCAATAATTATTGACTAAAATAAGATTTTCAGTAAGTAGTGACTGACTTTTAATTTCTAGTCATATATGCATATAAAATATTTTTCGCCATTTCAGCCAAGTCATAAATATACATGTCAGTTTGATCAAGATGGTGGAGCAACTTATTGAATTCTAATCATTCACTGACTTTGTTTATATTTTAGTAGGTAATTTTTTAATATCGGACTGATTTTGACCTGCTAGATAACCTATTCACATGCATATAATTACCATCCAGCCATGGCATTACAACTGAAACATACTTTTAATAAGATGTAAGGTCAAAGCATTAATCTCGGAAGAACCCAACATGTAAACTGATGTTTACCAGGAATTCTGAGTTGAATATTACCACAACTTTTATTTTCGCATAAACCACATGTTCATATATATCAACTAAGAGTCTTATTTCACCAGTCAACCGTCATTGTTATAATATAGAAAAAAAAAACAAATAAAAAACACAATATACTACCTACATATACCCTTTTTATTTATAGTTTATGATAGTTTTGGGTTTTTTTAAAATTAAAAAAAATGGAAAGTTGTAATAAGTACAGTGAGCAAGAAAACAAATTTGTGCACTCTAAGTTTCTTAAAACGTCGTGGCCTTCCTTTAAAGGAAAATAATAACTTAACATGTATAAATAGTCCCATAAAGCAAAACTTGTATCTAATATTAGATATTATTAAACATACATCATGCAAAAAATGTAAGGCTTTATATGTAACAAAGAACATTGTTTTATTGCCAATAAAGTTTCATATGTGCAGCTGAGGCTTGCCTTTATTTTACGATGTATGGATATGTGTTATTAGATATATGCTTTTTGAATGTTGAATTTATTTGGTGTTTTCACTGAAAAACTCATGATTTATAAGAAAGAAGCGTTTGAGTTTTTTTTTTAAGTAAAACTACATTTTTGCTTTCTATTCATTTGTTGGAATGATACTTTCTTACAGCCAGGATAACAGTATATCCCTCGTTATGTTACTTTAAATTTGTATCCACAACGGCAACAACAACGAAACAAAAATAAAATAAAAAAAATAAAACAAAAACAACAAAATTATGACAACACTGTAAATTAAAAAAAAAAAACTAATGAATCATTAACCCGAGATTACGATCAATTTAGTTAGATATTATTTTTATAAGGTAACTTGACTCAAGTAACCGCGGAATGACACCAAGAACCAATATTGTAAAAAAAAAAAGAAAAAAAAAAGAAGAAAGCAACAGCAACAAACAAATAAAATACTTCAAACTGTATATAACAACATGGTTTTATTTCAAATTAATTTATTTGTAAATATTATTCATGCTACTATTATATTACATAAGTGGTACATAAAGAAATACGTAAATGTCATATGACATTGAGATCAAAATGAGGATGGCTAGAGGAAAAGGCGTTTACCTCATATGAAGATCTTGCTTCTGCATTATTTATATCCCTTTATTTCATTCATGCAATATAAATGAAGAATAGAACGAATATTGTCTGTTTTAAAGGTCGTTCAAATAAGCTTGTCACTGTCTTATTTGTACGAGCTGGACTATTAATGAATAGTATATTTACAATGTGATATGCTTGATAAACAATGAAAGATAACCGAACTGATAAAGTATATTCTATTTTTGCATCTTGTTATCAATTCAGACCTTAATAATTTAAAGATGTATCAAACGTACTTGAGTCATTATACACATATATAAAGTACACAATAGCCATGTAGACATAGTAAATGTTATATGGCAACTTTTAAGCTTTGCTGGTATATTTCCCACCGTGCATTTTTGAGCACAAAAACGTACCCGAATGGAACCACCGACGGTCGTTAGCTAGCTGGTTAGCTTCCTCACATGAGCGAATTCAAAGTATTTGCAGGGATTCGGACCCACAGCGATGAGGGACAAGTCAACGATATTAACCACTCGGTCACGAACGTCCATTTGAAATGTATAAAATATCGTGAAAACTTTGAAATATGTAACAAATAATGAATATAAACTTTCTAAAGTAATTAGATAATGAACATAAGAATTGAAAACAATAAAGTAATGCAATATTAACTATATCTCACGCAATTACGTAATTAAATAGTATAGTACTTACTTTTGTAAATGCTTGCCTAGATCTTTGATGTGGTCTGATATACCGCAATTACGTAGAAAATAATGTAGAGTTAATGTGGAAAATGATATACAATAAAATGAATAAATTTGAGGAAATAAAACAACATCTATTTAGACCAATGAAATTTTCAAATGTTCTTAAAAGAAATATGTAAGGCGCAAGATATTCCATAAATAGGAAATGTCTATTTGTATTTCAAATCTTAATTAACCGTTTCGTGATTTACATTATAATATACAAACTTAATGTATCAAAATAATGATTATTTCTTATCTTAATACCAGTAATGAATCAATGAAAAAGGCAATACAGAATAAACACACTCGTAGATGAGGAGCATTTAAAACATAACAATCAATTTGATACTTTATTACTGACATGAAGTGTTGTCATAACTTATTGACACTTTATCTGTTGGATTTATAAATGACTTCCAGTCAATAAAAATAATAACTAGGATTTATTCTATAGGCAATATGAATTGATGAATTAATATGAAAGAAGCATTTGACGTACTTGTTTAATGTTTGTTCAACCAACCAAAGTGTTTACAAGACTTAAGGCCTTGCCATTTCTATAAAACTATACATAAACATGTCATCGCTACACTTCTCTGACTTTTTAAGAAAGCTGAAAGGTAAAACAGTATCTAAAGTTTTCACATAGCTATTTTTTATATATATATACTAAAGAATTGGCTTTATATAACTGTAAAACATTGAACACACTCGTGATTTCGTCCGCTAAAAAAAAAAGAAAGATATTTGTGACGGAAATAAGTCTTTTAAGTCCCCTAATTGGCTAATATAACTGAGAAATTTACATTATAGATCAGTAATATCAAAATGCATCTTTATGCAAAAGTAAAACACAAAACTTAAGCACAGTTTATGATTTATCGACATATTTCTGAACTAAAGCTTGGGTATTATAAGGACTTTTTTCTTTCAGAAATGAGGAACTCTAAATGATCTTTAATATCATCATCACGGATATGTGTTAAGCATTCAGCTAACAACCGACACTTGCAAAATGATTGTTTCTACCCAAAATGTTCAGAATATATGTATACAATATTATCCCGCTCCAACCAATTTATATACTTGTTAACTAATTTACTACTTAGAGAGCTTAATTCACAGGACCGAATCAAAATACCCCTAAAATTAACCAAAATGGGGGGCTGTTTGCCAAGATATCAAAAGTATATTTGTTGGGCTTTTCAAATATGAAATACTTTTACAGTTGGGTTTTGATTTTATTAGATTATGTAAATATCAGGTACCATATGTGTTATTAAAATAAACAATACGTAGACAAGGCATTCCTTTAATAATTACATAATATAAATTAACACTATGTTTCTTTTAAAATTGCTAAAAAGCAGAAAAACTGAATCCACGACCCTATGTTTCAATGCAGTTGGCAATAATTCTTGCCTATTCAAATACTCTTAAAAGCGGAGGTAATCCATAAGATGGGCATTTCTTTAAATTATATTTTGATAGATCACCTTCAACTGACGTAAAATTGTTCGTTACAACGTTTCCTGTTCTTTCATTGTTATACAGTAATACATAGAAAAATATTGATCAATCAACTAACAATTGTTATATGATTGTCCAATTTCTTTAGATCAGGTTTTTATTATAGTATAGAACTGTAGAATAACAGTAATTTTATGCCAATTTAGCAAAGATGAACACGTTAGAAAATTACCATTTGTGGTGTAATCCCGATCATTTAATTCCAAAATATCTCCCTATGAATATCTCGGAAAGACTGTTCTTTTCAATCATTTTATATCAAGTGCCAACAAAGTAATATAAATGTGTTCTTGATACATTGATACTTGTATCTGCTAATCATTAAAGTAGATTACAAATCTACATTGAAAAATCCAAAATGTAGTGGACATAAAGAATACCATACAAAAGATACGTATCTAAAGTGCAATTATCATTTTAATATTATGTTAAAGATATATTATAGTTTACATAGAGTCTCGTTTTGAAAAGAAAAATCTGTCGTTTTTAGATGAGATGTAATAATTACGTGTTTAATTTCTATGGCTGTAATCTAATTTCCACAAATATTTATTCTATGTATTAAATCAAAGGAAATATCGTTCCAAAGATACAAATATCACTATATTGCACATAAAAAATAGAAAAGAATTAAACATCAACAGGCTTAGTAACAGAAAGAGCATCGAACCACAAGGGTAGCTGAGGAGTATAAATCATATTGCCAAGTGTTTGGTGTTGTTTTTCTTTTGCATCACAGGTAAAAGAACTTTCCCTGTGGTCACAATATTAGACCTCAGAAAAAGTATATAAATGCACGAGTGTCTGAATATGACTTTAATCATTATTCCTTTCCCTGTCGTCACAATAAGTTAGCCCCAAAAATGATGAAGCAAATTAACGCGCGTGCTCTATTTCATCCCCGTCAGACAGTGTGGTAATTGGCGTGCAAATAACTAATACCTGCACTCCAGTTACCAGACTGTACATTTATAGGTATACATACGGTTTTGCTCTTGTACATTTTCGATAGAAAAGTCTCCACACAACCAATTTTATCTTGGTTTATCTAACTTAGAATTTATAAGACCACCCACCCCTCAAAAAAAAAAAGAAAAAAAGAAAGAAAAAGAAAAGAAAAAACAACAGCTGTTTTAGAATTAGAACATACAAAACACCAAATATATGACAAAATGTATAAATAATGGTTAACTAAAATTGATATCGGTCAGTTTTGATGAAATAGAAAGACGTAGTGTTATAACCGATCCTCACTAAAAGCTAGAATAATAAGTTTTAGATCTAAAAGAAAGGAGTAAAAACAAGAACTACAGTCTTAGCAGACATTATGACTGTAGATGTCCTTTGTTGGAATGAAGTGCTCACCCATAAAATTGAAAGTTGTGCCTGCTACAATGTTCTGAAACACGAGTTAGAATAATTTGATCAACTCGAACGGACACAGGTAACCAATTTATCAATATGAGATCTTGGTTACCAGTAACTTATTCATCCACATCTTATTTTAGCAATACCAGAAGGCATAGGCATAGTGAAAATGACATTGAATAAGCGACATAGACAGTAGGTTGTTTAGTATGTTGGGTAAAAAGTTTCCTATATAGAAATGTAATATTGAGTTGATCTTTTAAATAACGGAGAACGCAATTGAATCACAAAATTGAATTTAGGCACCAAGAAATTAACTGATGAGTTGGTCTAATGACCTGACCATTACAGGATACGATTACGGGTGGATTTAACCTAAGTTTGGGCTCAGTTTTAGCTTAAAGAAATGACAACTTTTCAACAAACCATTTGCTAACAATCGCCATCATTTCCTCATTTATTGAATGTTCAACCTTACATTAATTTTTAACAACATCAAAATACCAGATTTATCTGCTTAAAAGAAAACAAAAAAAAAAAAAAAAAAAACAACAAAAAAAAAAAAAAAAAAAAAAAAAAAAACAACAAAAAAAAAAACAAAGTGAATAACATAAATATATAAAGTGAATAAGACTTTATTGGGTAAAGCCGTCCAAACATGCTATCAGTCAAACTTGTCGATAAGTTCGACACGTCATGACTGTTGACATTCTAACAATGCCAGTAAGTTTTTAACCTTTGTTAATTGTTATTGACTGAAACTTATGAAAACATAACAAATAGACCGCTTATCTCATGAAGTGTGGACATATCTTGTTAGTGTTTGATCAATTTGATATAACAAGTGCATCAAATGTGTTTCTTTATGACATTAAGGGCTGCTTACTGACTTGATGTTAGAGACAAATCAACTGAATTATGCATTTCAATAGATTTGTTTCAATTCCTCCTTTTTAGATCACTTAACATTGAAATATTGAAAGACTTTTGTCATCTTTTGGATTCCTTTAATAGAAAGATGTTTGCTGTAATACGATATCACAACATTTAAATGGCGAATTAAACTTGGCTGTGTTTTGCAAATCTTGCCCGAAATATTTGAATTATACAATATTTGAATTACGCAGTTCAGCTCTTTGTCTTTAGATTATTTTGTAATCGTTAAAACCAAAGGGTTTTAATATGCGAATTAAAATGGTTGAAAATCATAAGATATACAAATGATTGCCTTTCTATATTTATCAATATGTAACTGCAGAAATTGCAACAATTCAAACATTCGTCTATAATTGTAGCCATAAAAGAAACACATGAATCAAAAACGACTTTAGAAATAACTTTTGATGTGATCATAAAAATGAAAGGAATGTTCTTTTATGTTAAATATTGTATTGCTTCAAAGAAAAATAAATAAATATTATTAAAATCAAATCATAGCGCTACTTTATATTCTCTAATCGTTTGTTATCTGCAACAGAAAAGAGTTATTTGAATCAATCCCACG